ACTTCAGTATGGATGGTTGACCATGGGGGAGGATTACTCTGCAGTCTATCAAACAAGGGCTTACATTGCTTTCTCAGATTTTTGTAAAAGTTAAAAACATAATTTAGACATCCGAGAAATCTCTGGAGTTGACTTTTATCAAGAATTTGATCAGGAAATTTATCAGCAAACTGAATGACTCGATCGATTGGGGAGATTTGTGACTGGCAAATATTGAAGCCAAGGAATCTGATATTGGTTTGGAATAACTTGATCTTCTTAGCAGAAACAACTAGACCATTCTGTTTGACAATTTGAAGGAATTTATATAGACAATTGAGAAATGTTTCCAATGTTGTTCTATTGACTCAGAAAAGATGAGAACATCATCAATATAGACAATTGAGAAATGACTGTAAGGATTAAAAATCTCATTCATAATATTTTGCAATTCACTAGGGGCATTTTTCAGACCAAATGGCATTACATTCCATTCATAATGACAGAAAGGAGTGACAAATGCAGTCTTATATCTATCTGACTCATCTATTTGGATTTGCCAGAAACCACTCTTCATGTCAAATTTAGAAAAAAACAACTGCTTTTTCTAATCTATTAATCAGGTCTCTTTTATTAGATATGGGATACCTAATCCATTCTAAGACTGAATTAAGTGGCTTGTAATTGATAACTAATCTTGGGACTTCTCTTTCTAACTCAGCGTTTTTCTGGACATAGAAAGCAGGGCATGACAAAGGGGACTTACTTTTGCGAATTATTTTCTTCTGAAGCAACTAATGAATTTCTTTTTTACAAAACTCCATTATTTCTTGACTCATCGGGATTGGCCTGGCTTTAGTGGGAATATTTTTCTCACTAAAGGTTCTGATATAGGGAAGACAAACAACATGTTGTTTTCTATACCAAAAAGCATTAGGTAAGTCAAAACAAATCTCATTTTTTAGCTTATTTTCAAACTGCTGAATTTGCAACTGTAGAGATTTATCGCTAAGCTGTTGTTCAACTCTTTTGAACTTAATTTCTTCTTTAAGAAAATTCAACTGGTTATTTTTTCTAATAATTTGTACTGATTTGGACACTGACTGCTTTGGCAAAGCTTTCAGGTTATGCAACTCTGGTTTAGACAGAAACTCAAATTTAACCTTTTCGCCTAAATAGGTAGAAATGACACCATCATAGTCTACCTAGAAGGGATACAATAAGGCAATAAAAGGTAACCCTAAAATGACTTCGTCAGTGATATTCTTGACCAAAACAAATGAGGTTTTAAAGCAAATTTTATTTTGGCATACATGGGCTTTTGGAAACTCAAAATTTAACTGGAATGATTTTCCTGAAGCAGTGCTTAAGGATTCTCTAGACTTCTGGTAAAACTTAGTAGGGATTAGACTTTCCTAAATACAGTTAAGATTAGCTCCTGAGTCAAATAGGGCAACTGTGTTGAACTCAAAGTTTTGGACAAATATTGTCACTTTCGAATACCATTTTCCAAAATTGACTTGTTTGATCAAATTTACAACTTGTTGGCTATCAGAAGGTTCGTCATCAGAATTGTGAGGACTTTCTGACTGGCTTTTGGACTCAGAAGACTCTTTTTCCATAAGACGGACTAAATCTTGCTTGATTGCATAATTTTCATTTTGTAATTTATGACTTATCTGTTTTAATTCAACTATTTCTTTTTTAACCATTTTTACTTCTAATTGCAGATCTTGTAAGGTAATTTCTTTCTTTTTAGCAAATTTTTCTAAAGTGGTATTTAAACTAATCGGCTGGGGAACAGATTGACTTGGGCTTTCTTGGCTAATGACTTTTCTTAACTTCTTTAAATACTTAGATTTCAAATCAGGATTCTCAACTTTGCTTATTAAATCTATTAATAATTCTTCTTGTTCTTCTTGTTTAGTAAGAACAGAAATGGATTTTAATCTATTACAACATTTATCTTTACAACCAATTTGGATATTAGGTGAGCTGGACTGTGAATCTGAAGACTGGTCAGATTCAGACTTAGAGCTGGCCACTATGGTTTCATCATTGCTTGTTTTAGAGTCTCGCAACTCTAAAACCTTTATCAACTTTTCTTTTTCTTCATCTGTAATTTTCAACTGTTTAATAGTATCCTTTACTTTGTTCAGAGGCATAATGACCAAACTTTTGACATTTAAAACATTTGACTTTGGTTTTATCATTATTTTTCTTGGAGTGATTATTCTTTTGACTTTTTGGGGCTTTTGACCAATTTTTCTTGGGGGAAAATTTCTTTTTCCTATAGAACTCATGATTATCATCATTATGTCGGGAGAATTGTTTTCTACCGAATAATGACGATGTTTTCGAATGTGATTGGGATAACTAGGCTTATTTTTCCTGGAAGGAGGGATGCTGGCAAGACCATACTATTCACATAAATTTCCTAATTCATATTTAGCTGATTTCCTATCGGACTGTATTTGTCTACCAATTTTAAAATAAATACACATTCTCATACCAACTTGGTTGATTGTACTTATGATATTTCCATATGTTAAGCTATCCCAATCTATATGGCCTTGTTCATTACTCAGGGTTGTGCGTATTTTGTGGGCAAACAAATTTGGAAGACCATTAACAAACTTTTCTTTCCAGAAAGGTTGATTACTATCATCCCTAAGCATGACTCGAGAGATGAAGACATCTTTATGAAGACATCTATATATATATATATATATATAGAGCTTCCATTGAGGGATCCCTCAAATAAGCTTATTTGAGGGACACCCCTTGTAGGGCCCACTCCGGATTGTATTTCACTAATCCAAACCGTCTATTTTGTAGATACACATTCAAAGATCATCTCTACAAAAAATCACTTGAATCCGATATCATTTGACCATTCAATTGAGTTATTGAAATTTTAGTACTTTCTTGAAGCACCGTGTTCATTGATTTTGTAGGACACAATTATATGTCAAAACAGTTTCCGATTTGTCGAATTTTTTGTAAGGATGATCTATGAATGAAGACCTAAAAATAGATAGTTTGGATTATTGCAAAAATTTGTAGGATACCCTAAAGGGCGTTCCTCAAATAAAATTATTTGAGGGATCCCTCAATAGAAGGGGTATATATATATATATATATATATATATATATATTACTTTTTTATGAGTAATGCTATTTAGACATACAAGATTGACCACATTTGCTGACCACCTTATGTGGCAGCTGATATGGTCATGTCATGTCAATTAATGAATATTGTCATGTATATTTTATTTTTATTTCTTTCTTTTTTGAATAAGTACTAAAAGCAGAAATTAAAAGTGAAATTAAAAATTAAAAACCCTAAGCGTCCATGGACTCTTCGTCTCCAACGCTCCCATTTTTCCTCCATCAAATCTACCCATCCTCATCCTCCATTGTTGCTGAGATTTGGAGTTTTCTCAATAAAAACGAAATAAAAAAACCCTAACGTCAGTAGCCTCACGTCGTTCTCTACTCTGTCTCTCTCATGCCCTCGCTTCCTCCTCTAAATATATCCATCCTCTTCCTCCATTGTTGTTGTGAGAGTTGGAGTTTTTTTAATGAAAAAGGAATTAGAGTCCCTGGGCTACTCCCAGTAAGAACAATTTGGGTGGGTTGAAGAATGGAGAGGTTTTCTTGTCAATTAATCTCCAAAATCCTGTTTCAAAAAGGGGTTGAAGGTTGAGGTACATACTCAATTTTTAGTGTAGTTAATTCCTTTCACAGTGGAACAATGATGGAGGATGAGAATGGGTCGATTTGACGGAGGAAGGGAGTGTAGGAGAAGAAACATAGAGACGCAGGGTTTTTTAATTTCTTTTTTATTGAGAAAACTCCAAATCTCAGCAACAATGGAGGAAAGAGATGGGTAGATTTGATGGAGGAAGAAGGGAGTAGTGGAGACAAGTGCAGGGACGTTTTTTTTTAATTTTTTTAATTTCACTTTTATTTTTTGTTTTTAATAATTATTTAAAAGAGGAAATAAATAAAATAAAATCTACATGGCAATATTCACTAATTGACATGGTATGACCACATCAGCTGCCACATAAAGTGGTCAGCAAATGTGGTCAATCTTGTGTGTCTAAATAGCATTACTCTTTTTTTGTCTAAATAGCATTACTCCTTTTTTATTGAGGAATTTTTCAAATAATTTTATTTAAGAGACACTTTTTAAGGTCATCTACGAATTTTTTTTCAACAATCCAAACCATCTATTTAGGCCCAAAATTTCAAGTTTTCATATTTCAATTTGGGCTCACAAAACTACAGTGATGATGGGCTAATTCGAGCTAATTGAAGATAGTCTCAGGATTTAATCCAGTCCATAACAGTTCACCGTACCAAACAATCCTTAGAGGTCAATTTTTAGTCCCTATATTTTGAGTTTTTTTTTCCATTTTTGTGTTATGCAGGTGTATCTTTGGCACTTTTAGTATATTGTAATTGTAGTTTGCTACCTTTCTTAACCGTGGTCTGATTTGCTAAACCCAATTGATTTCCAAGACTGAAACTTGAGGTGGATTTCTCCTGTGCGATAATCATATGTTGGCACGTCAGATTTTCATCATGAAAATTAACAACATCAATTATTTGGATAGAGATTAAACACTCGGCAAACCACGTCATAATCGTGAGAGCCAAAATTGTCAACATATAAATTATAAGAAGGAAAGTTGTCGGTGTAAAAATTGAATTGTAAACAAAAGCAGCACATCACTTGCATCGTTGGGCTATGTTTTCAATTCCTCTACGTAACTATATGATTAATTGCTTAATTTATTGCCAGGCGGCAATCTGTTCTTTTACCAATGAGCTCGGGGAGAAAGCTTCTGACCAATGCCAGCAAAGGCATGACGTCATCACTGTATCTTGACCTAAGCAAAGATTATTAATTCCGACATTCAATTGTGGCAATATATATTAAGGGCATCGACATGAACTTTTCATTTCCATCGGAATATCTAAAACACCTCCCTTTGTTTCTTCCCCAAATGGAAAAAGCTTCAGAGCTAGTCTTCATCCCCTCCGCCGGCATGGGCCACCTCGTCTCCGCCGTCGAGATGGCAAGGCTCCTCGTTGCTCGACACGACCGACTTTTCATCACCGTCTTCATCATGAAGCTACCCTTCGACTCCAAAGGCACCGAGTCCTACATAGCCTCCCTCGAGGCCTCTCCCGTGTCGCCACGTGTCAACTTCATCACCCTCCCAAAAGTTCCTACCATAGACAATCACATGAGCCCCAACTCCTTCCGCAACCAGTTCATCGAAAGTCACAAAACCCACGTCAAAAACGCGGTCGCCGAACTCACCGAGTCTGAGTCCGATTCAAGGCCTCGGCTCGCTGGGTTCATCATCGACATGTTTTGTACAACAATGATCGACGTGGCGGATGAATTTGGGGTTCCTACTTACATGTTCTTCACTTCACCAGCTGCGTTTCTGGGGTTGTTGTTTAGCCTACAGAGAATTCGTGACGTGTATAACAAGGACGTGAGTGACTTCAAGGACTCGGACGCTGAGTTGGCCCTGCCCACTTTTGTCAACTCGGTTCCCGCCAAAGTCTTGCCCAGTGTGCTTCTGGACAAGGACGGTGCGAAGGCTATCCTCGGCTATGCCAAACGGTTTAGAGAAACCAAGGGTATTTTGGTAAATACATTCATGGAGCTGGAATCGCACGCTCTTGATTCTCTTTCTGATGGTGAAACCCCACCTTTGTATCCTGTGGGCCCCATCTTGAACCTAAAGAGCGATGATAGCCAATCGGGTTCAGAGCAGGCGCAACAGAAGTCTGATGTATTGGAGTGGCTAGATGATCAGCCTCCTTCGTCTGTGGTGTTCCTGTGCTTTGGGAGCATGGGAAGCTTTGGTGAGGACCAGGTGAGAGAGATAGCGTGGGGGCTTGAGCGGAGTGGGCTCCGGTTCTTGTGGTCTCTACGCCAGTCGCCACCAAAGGAGACCGTTGCGTCCCCTAGTGACTATTCAGATCCCAAGGCGGTCCTGCCCGAAGGGTTCCTCGATCGGGCGGTTGGAATAGGAAAGGTCATAGGGTGGGCCCCGCAGGTGGCGATCTTGGCCCACCCTGCAATTGGCGGGTTTGTATCTCACTGCGGGTGGAATTCCACGCTTGAGAGTCTATGGTTTGGGGTGCCGGTTGCCACGTGGCCAATGTACGCTGAGCAACAATTAAATGCCTTTGAATTGGTAAGGGAGTTGGGATTGGCTGTGGAAATCAACATGGAGTATAGGAGGGACTTTTATGGGGAGAGTCCGAAGGTTGTGAAGGCAGAAGACATAGAGAGAGGAATAAGGGAGGTGATGGTGCAGGATAGTGATTTAAGGAAGAGGGTGAAAGAGACGAGTGAGAAGAGCAAGAAGGCCTTGATGGATGGTGGGTCCTCACACTCTTCATTGGGACATTTTCTTGATCAGATTTTTCTTTGATATATAAATAAAATATATATGCGGTGGTTCTGATTTTGGGTATACCGCATGCTTTCAGTCGCTGGTAAGCGGTATGCGGGGGTTCTAAGAAGTTTCATATTAAGAAAAACGAAGGGTGTCTGTATCTCATTACTCACGTCACGTGATCTAAGACTTTCTCATTTGTGTCTTGTTTACAATTGACAGATATTCTTCGTCAACTTTCTTTCTAGTTATTTAAAGACAATAAAACATGATAGACCTCCTGACCGATTGGTACCAACACCTTATTATTACAAAAATGAAAATAGTGGTCAATTAGTCCCTATATTTTAAGTTATTTTTCGTTATCGTTTATGTAGGTTTATCTCTGCCAGTTTTAGTATACTAGTATGTTAGACGATGTAATCCTAGCTGTAGCTGTATTCCTAACTTGTAGGGATAAAAGTCTTGTAGAGCAAGGAATGTAATTGTATATATATTTCTCATTCACATATTAATGAAATATTCTTACCCAATATACTTTTCTACATGGTATCAGAGCAGGGTCTCAAAACCTTAGCTTCCCTTTATTTTGTTTTCGGCTGACTCCTCCTGCCGTTCCTTTTTTCATCATGGGAGACTCATATTCCAGTCCTTTTTCCCTTCACCATTCTGATCATCCTAACCTTGTTCTTGTCTCCACCAAATTAAATGGAGACAATTATACCACCTGGGCACGCGGCATGGAGATCTCTTTGAGCGCCAAGAACAAACTTGGCTTTATTCATGGTACCATTAGGGAACCGTCCTCCTCCACGGACCCTGATAAACACGCTGCCTGGCGCCGCTGCAACGATATGATTCTTTCTTGACTTCTCCATTCTTTGGAGCCTGACCTTGCCGAGTCCGTCCTTTTTTCCACCACTGCCAAAGCTGTTTGGGACGACCTCCGTGAACGTTTTCCCAAAGCAACGCTCCTCGCATCTTTCAACTCAACCGTGCAATTGCCACCATCTCCCAAGGGACTTCTTCTGTTTCTGCCTATTTCACTCGTCTCAAAGGCCTTTGGGACGAACTTGCCTCGTACAACGAACCCTGCACTTGTTCTTCAGGCACCAAGAACGACAGACAGCAGCTTATGCAGTTTCTCATGGGGCTTAACGAGTCTTTTTCTGCCGTTCGTGATCAAATCCTCTTGATGAGCCCCCTGCCCACCGTTCGCCATGCCTGTTCCTCCGTGTCTCAGGCCGAGAAGCAACGTTCGATGGGTTCTCCCCGTTCCGTCGACCAATCTGCTGCAGCCATGGCGGTCCGTGGATCGTCCCGTGCTTCCTCCGACCGTCCTCCTCTTCACTGCACCTATTGCAACTACGATTTTCACACCCGTGACAATTGCCACAAGCTTCATGGTTACCCTGTTGGTCATCCTCTCCATGGCCAGCCGTGGAGGCCACCCCGTCGCTCTACCTCTGCTGGTTCTTCACGCAACAATGGTGCTGGTTCTTCACGCAGCAATGGTGCTGCCCCTTCTGCCCGTAACCTCCATGCTGCTCATCCTTGGCCCACTACCAGCCCTCCTTCAGCTCACCACGTGCAAGGGCAGCCCACGCTGCATGATGTCCAGATTGCTATGCCCCATCTCTCAACCGACCAACACTCCCGAGTTCTTGCTGCCCTCAGTGACGGTGCCCAGCCTCCTTCCTCTCCTCAGGCTCATGCTGTTTTTGGTGAGGATTTTACCAAAGGTTTGTTTCCCGTAGCTTCTCGTCTTGGTCAATGGATCCTTGACAGTGGCGCTACGGATCATATTACCTCTTCCGCCTCGTGTTTGGTTAATACTTCTGCTTCGCATTTGCCACCTGTTTCTTTGCCCAGTGGTGCTACCGCCCCTATTACTTCCACTGGCACTCTTCATTTAAATTCCTCTGTTTTTTTGAAGGATGTTTTATGCGTCCCTACTTTTAAAGTGGACCTTTTATCGGTTGGTAAGCTTACAGATGGATTATCGTGTTCCGTAACATTCTTTCCCTCTTGGTGTGTTTTGCAGGATTTGGTTTCGAAGGCAACGATTGGTGTGGGTAAGCGACGTGGTGACCTATATTATCTTGTGGCTCTTGCCTCCTCCATCCCATCCAGTCACCCCCTCTGCAATGTCATCACCATCCCGTCTTCCCTGTGGCATAGGCGCCTTGGTCATCCTTCCCATCCTCGTTTGCAAGCTTTAGCTTCTAGTTTTTTACATTGTTCTTTTGATTCTAGTCATGTGTGTGATGTTTGTCCTTTGGCAAAACAAACTCGTCAACCTTTTGGTTTAAGTTCAATTTCAACAACCTTTCCTTTTGCTTTAATTCATTGTGATATTTGGGGCCCGAATCGTCAAACTTCCCTTTCTGGAGCTCATTATTTTTTAACCATTGTGGATGATTTTTCTCGTTTTACATGGGTTTTCCTCATGAAACATAAATCTGATACTCAACAATTACTCAAGGATTTTTTTGCTTATGTCAGTACCCAATTCCATGCTAAAATTCGTTGCATTCGCACTAACAATGGCGGCGAATTTCTTTCTCTTCGTCCATTTTTTTCGGATCATGGGGTTTTACTTCAAACTTCTTGTGTCTATACCCCTCAACAAAATGGCGTTGTTGAACGCAAACATAGACACCTCTTAGAAACCGCACGTGCACTTCGCTTCCAGTCCAATCTTCCCCTCAAATTTTGGGGTGAATGTATCCTTACCGCTGCTTATTTAATAAATCGTCTTCCCACCCGTCTTCTCCATAATCACACACCGTTTGCAGTCCTTCATAACAAAGTCCCCACCTATGATCACTTCCGCGTTTTTGGTTGTTTAGCCTATGCCACCTCTGTCCTTCCACCCACTAAATTTTCCCCTAGGGCTCACCGTTGCATCTTCCTTGGTTACCCTCCCGGCCAAAAGGCCTACAAACTATATGACCTAGACACTCACCGCCTCTTCACAAGTCGGGACGTAATCTTCCATGAAGATTCCTTCCCTTATACTCTTCCCCCCACCTCTACCCCATCCCCCACGCCTCCCTTGCCTCTCCCTTCCTCTCTGGACTTTCCTTATCCCCCATCCCCTGTCCCTACACCACAACCCCTTACTGCCCCTCTTGCCGACCCATCCACCTCTCCCTCCACGGCTCCTCCTCCTCCTCTTAATGACACCTTCCCTGACCACTCTGCTCCCTCTCCCGATATCCCATCTAGTTCACCCCCGGACCCCAACCCCTCCTCGCTCCCACCTCCTTCTCAACCTTTCCCCGCCCCCCGCATTTCTTCCCGCACCCGTACATCCCCATCCTATTTTAAGGACTACGTTTGCTCGCAGGTGATTCTGCCGCCACACCAATCCTCGACTTCGCCGCCCAATTCTCCACCTGGTACGCGTTATCCACTTTGTAATTTTATTTCTTATCACCGTTACTCACCCAAACATCTTTCATATACATATTCTGTCAGTCGGCATGTGGAGCCCTCCTCCTTTGCCGAGGCTACCAGTGATCCTAATTGGCGTCGTGCCATGCATGAGGAGCTTCAGGCATTACATGCCAATGGTACTTGGACTCTGACTACTGGCAAAGCTCCCATTGATTGTAAATGGGTGTACAAATTGAAGTATAATTCTGATGGTTCTATTGAGCGTTACAAAGCTCGCTTGGTTGCTAAAGGTTACACACAGGCTGCAGGTATTGATTATCATGACACTTTTTCCCCTACTGCTAAGATGATTACTGTGCGTTGTCTTCTTGCTCTTGCTGCTAGTCAGTCTTGGTCTCTTCATCAGCTCGATGTTAATAATGCTTTTTTGCACGGTGATTTACATGAGGAAATTTATATGTCTCCTCCTCCTGGTCTTTGGCGACAGGGGGAGAATCTTGTGTGTCGCCTTCATAAATCTCTATATGGTCTCAAGCAGGCTTCTCGCCAATGGTTTGCTAAATTCACTACTGCCATTCTTTCCGCTGGATTCCAACAATCAAAAGCTGACTATTCATTGTTCACCAGAAAGTCCGGTACTTCTTTCACAGCCTTACTCATTTATGTGGACGATATTGTGATTACAGGGAATGACGTCAGGGCCATTGATTCTCTGAAGTCTTTTCTCCGTGACCACTTTCGGATAAAAGACCTTGGGGAACTAAAATATTTTTTGGGTATCGAGGTTTCTCTCTCTCAACGTGGAATTTATATTTCACAGCAAAAGTATGCATTGGAGATTCTCAAGGATTATGGTTTTCTGGGTGCACGGCCCATTGCTTTTCCCATGGATGACACAAAATTATCTGATCGAGGAGAACTTCTCAAGGATCCTGAAAAGTATCGGCGCTTAGTAGGACGGTTGATTTATCTCACCATAACTCGGCCAAATATCACATATTCCGTGCATGTTTTGAGTCGGTTTATGCATGAGCCCCGTGTTCCTCATATGGATGCTGCGCTTCGTGTTGTTCGTTATTTGAAATCAACTCCAGGTCAAGGCTTATTATTTCGTTCTGACAACCAGACTAAGTTAGCTGCATTTTGCGACTCTGACTGGGCAGTTGTCCTATCACTCGTCGTTCGACTACTGGGTATTGTGTATTCTTGGGAAATTCTCTGATTTCGTGGCGAACAAAGCGACAGAAAACTGTGTCGCTTTCTTCAGCTGAGGCAGAATATAGGGCAATGGCAGGTGCTTGTTGTGAGTTAGTTTGGCTTCGTTTTTTGTTGAAGGATTTGAATATTCCTTTGGAAGGTCCTTCTGTTTTATTTTGTGATAATCAAGCTGCATTGCATATAGCCGCGAATCCTGTTTTTCGTGAGCGAACTCGTCACATTGAGATGGATTGTCATTTTATACGCGATAAGATTGCAGATGGAACCGTAGCGACAGAATATGTGCGTACGACACACCAGTTGGCAGATTTGTTCACTAAGCCCCTTGGGAAGAACAAGTTTTCAACTTTGATACGCAAGTTGGGTGTTCTTGACATTCACTCTCCAACTTGAGGGGGAGTGTTAGACGATGTAATCGTAGCTGTAGCTGTATTCCTAACTTGTAGGGATAAAAGTCTTGTAGAGCAAGGAATGTAATTGTATATATATTTCTCATTCACATATTAATGAAATATTCTTACCCAATATACTTTTCTACATAGTAGTTTGCAGCTTTCTTAGTCGCAGTCTAATTAGCTAATCTATTGATTTTCAAGACGAAAATTCGAGGCGGATGTCTCATGTGCGAAGATCATATGGTGCCACAAATTTTCGTCTTGAAAATTAAAAATATAATATTTTTTAATAAAGATCAAAAACTTGAGACATCGAACCTATGAAGATGTAGCGATAAATGTTCTTAACTAATTGAACTATAATTCACTTCCAAATGCCCTTTTTAAAAAATGTTAAAAATAAAAATAATAATATTTTATTATTAATTATAAATATGAGCATGGAGCCTCAAGAAGATTGTTCTAATTTCAATATGTACACGTGGTCCTTGGTCGAACAGTAATATAGATAAGCACTAATCAGGGCATTAATCATCTTAATTATTCTCAAGGTTTAAAATACCGATGGTATCATAAATATTAGTAGTCTAAAAACACGGAAATTTCGATGAAAAAATCGAGATATAATCGATATCGACAAAAATTGAATAAAAACCACGAAAATTGTGAGAAAAACCAGGAAATATTTATTGAAGCTTTGGAGAATGTTTATTCAGTCAATTATCTATTAGTTTATCACAAAAAATTGGAAGGAAATGCGTTGCATGATGGGTTAACTGATTTAAGTTGATTATATAAAGAGTTGACAAACATTGTGAGTTTACATCAATATTATCGATAATATCGACGAAATATTGAGGATATTGTTGTTTTTTTGAATCACGGATATTTTGAAACGTATTCATACAAATATCGTATAAATATCGATATCGATAATTTCGCTCACACTGCCTGAAGCACAGGTACTTCAAATTAGCCACAAATTTCCCAATCGCGGAAGCCTGGATCAGGCCAATCGTGGTGTTGGCTAGGGTTTAAGGTCTATCGTGGCATCGGTTACATGCAACCCAACAAAGCGCTTGCAGTTCTTCAATGGCGTTCATGTAGCGGCTACAAATCTCTGAAATTTTCTGCTGGGTGGAGGAGGGCTGGGTTGCGGGTTGGGGGGTGGGAGGAGGGGTCTGTGGGGGAATTGGGGAGAAGAAACCAGGGGAGTGGGGGTTCTGGTTTCTACAAGTGGAGGGTGGGAGGATGGGGGAGGGGTCTGTGGGTGGTGGTTGGGAAATGGGGGGAAGAAGAAGAGGGTTTTTTTTATTTTTTATTATATATATATATATTAATTTTTCCATTTTGTATTGTTTATTTTTAAAAGGAATGATTTTTCTAATAATTTGACCGAATTGCCCCTTTATAAGTAACATAAGTTACTACAATTTGACAGAAATAATAGATTGTCCCTGAATTGCTTCAAATTGGAATAACAGGGACAAAATTGACCAAAAGCATGGACCAAAGTGGTAAAAATGACAAACTACGAGGACCAAAAGTGACTTTTTGCCTTAAAATTTGGAAGTCCTTTTTTTTTCTTCTTTTCCTTTTGTGGTTTTAAAGTGAATGGATGCTAGCAACATTCTCTATAACCATTTCTTTTGGATCTTCTCCATTTTCCTCATGACATGTGACATTTTACTTTCTTTCAAAACAATATCATTAATGCATCATACAAACTACCTTTTGTTTTCCAAAGTTTTACCTTGGAGCATCTATAATCATGCTCTCTGTTTTTCAGTTAAATTTTAGTTAACATACAAAAGCTATTTTAGGAACTATCTATAAAATTGGAACTCCAATCATACTCTCCATAATAAAAAAATTAATATAAATGACGTGTAGAATACCGGATGTTGTGCCTCCAATTTTTTTTCGGATGAGAGATGAGCTGACTGTTGAATTGGGCACTGCTTGATGGAAAAAAATGCTTTTGCATAATCATATTGCATATTATTATGCATTCCTCTCTTTCTTCTCTGTTTCCAAGTTGCTGTTTGCGAAGATGTCCAACTCAACATATGTAAAAGATTCTCAAACAAATTGAATGGTAACGTGTGTGGAAATTGTATGTGTAGAGCTGTCATGATTGTCTGATATGTTTGGTAATAGAGAATTGAAGTCTTCTTTAATTTTTTTTTTCTTTCGTCGTTTTCAAGTACGTAAATGTGTAATATGTTAAAACATTCAGATTTTCGATTCATCAAACACAATCCTAGCTCCAATTAGTTCCCTATTTTTCGGTCTACAATTAGTTCCTAATCTTGTTGATTATAAACAAACCGAATTTGGGTTTTCCTTCATGTTTATTTCTATGGGTTTGGAGACTTAATAAAGAACATGTAATTGTCTACAACATCACAACAAATAATTTGTTCACCATGTTTTCATATTTAACTGTTGAAGTTCGAGTATTGACGAAGCCATATCGTCACCATCAGTATTCCATGTTTTTATATTTTAATACAAGAGATGGTCTAAATTACGAAGAGGAGGAGAGCTCACATACAAACAATGTGCTATAGGAGTTTGAACATAAGAGAACTGGTCTATAAATCAAGACAATTTTCCACAGAGATATAGACCCCATTGGCAGTTGACCATGTCGTTATTGTTGAACAGTAAATACAAAAAGAAAAAAGAATAGACATGAAGTTGAAAGATCGTGCATGAAATATTTGTCTAATATTTTGTTACATTATTCTTTCAAAGTTACAGTATTTAAAGTGAGTTAAAATTTGCAATATGTTGTAATTAATTGAGGGTGGTTGACTCTGCCGCTATCAAGGACCTAATACTCTCCAAACCAATTTCTCTTGGTCCAACTAAATTTTTTAAACTCTTAACACTTTCAAAACACCCTGTTGCTCTAGTCAAAATGAATTTATATATCCAGTGATTTGTGATTTGTGTTGAAATAGCCATCAGGCAGTGTAGCTAATCAGCCAAACCTCACCTCTGACCTTCTGGATTGGAAGTTGAAACTGCACTCATATTCTGACCGGAAAAGTTCAGAAAAAGGAGCAACACATAACATATATGGAACATGCATTACAATATTACAATTAATGTTCACCATGACTTGTAAGGTAATAGCGGAATTTCATGTAATGATGAAGAATGACCACCATCCAAACCTGGCCCTGTTCCCGTTGAACTTGAAGCAACATCCCAAGGCTCAATTGAGTGAGTCCTAACATATTCAACCTCTTCATAGTCTTGTCCACCATTAGAAGGTTTTTCTGACATTTGAATCCCCTCCAGCTCTGCCGTGACCTCTCTCATTGTCGGGCGCTTTCTTCCACTCAAATTCAAACATCTTCTTGCAAGGTTAGCAACTAATATGATATCTGCTTTAGACCCTCCTTTTACAACTTCAGCATCAAGAATTTCGAACAAGCGATCTAACTGCATCGAAGTAATGAAGTATGTGGCAAGACTTTTGCCTTCTTCTTGCGACCTTCTAAAAGAAATTGGTTTTTTGCCCTGTCAAGAGCTCAACAAGGACAACTCCAAAGCTATACACGTCACTTTTCTCCGTAAATTGGCTTGTTTGAAAGTATTCGGGGTCCAAGTAACCAAATGTGCCGTGTACAAGTGTGGTGAGGTGAGTTTGGTCAATGGCAACTGATCTTGAAGTTCCGAAGTCAGCAACTTTTGCTCTGTATTTTGCATCCAAGAGTATGTTGGTAGACTTGATGTCTCTGTGATAAATGGGAAAGGCAGCTGAAGAATGTAAGTAGGAAAGAGCTCCTGCAACTTCCATGGCAATTCGTAAGCGAACTTCCCATGTAAGTGGAAACTCCTCATTCTGCTCATGGATATACTGGGAAAGGTTTCCGTTAGGTATAAATTCATAAACCAAAATGGGAACCTCCGTCTCCAAACAACAACCCAATAGTTGAACGACATTTCTGTGGTTGATTTGTGAAAGAATGACAACCTCATTGATGAAATCTGAAAGTTGGCTTTCGTCCACTATTTTAGATTTTTTCACAGCAACAATTCTTCCATCTGTCAGCATGCCTTTATAAACAGTACCTTGGCCTCCCTGGCCAAGAATTCTATCAGTATTGAAATTGTCAGTGGACTTCTCCAACTCCTTTGATTTGAATAGCTTGATTTTCTCAACATTAACTTCACCTGACGACAATTGTTTCTCTAATAATAATCCACCATTTCGCTTGAAGAACATCTCCCTGCGTTTCATGGTATGGCGTTTCTTTAGGAATCTGTATCCCAACCATGCGCTGATAAGCAAAAGTAACAGTCCAAGACCAGCACCAAGACCTGCAATATATAACTCAGTAAAATGATCAAAGATCACAAATTGCAAACCAAGTTTATGTCTTGTGCCCATAAAATAAATAAAATAAACTGTTGATGACACTTAGGCAGAGTTTATGTTTAATAAATAATTAACTCCAGAGACCTCTAATATAGTGAATAGTGAAGAATGACCAAACTAGCTCTAAACTGTTGATGGCAGTTTGGATTGTAATTTGTAACTACAAAAATATAATTGTACGTAGTAGGGAACTTATCATCTAACTCCACCAATTGGGCAGTTCTTTTTTCTTTTCTTTTAAAAGAGAAATCAACTATGTTTAATTCCAAAATCGTATACTATGTACGATGATATATGGCGTACCTATAATAAGGATCAATTTAGTTTTCTTTTTGTCAGCGCAAACGTAATAACCAGGAACGTTCACACACTTGCTGTGGGGCCCGCATCGATTATGACCAATCATGCATTCATCAATATCTGAAATGTAATTTAGAAAAGAAAAAAAAACAGAAACGGTAAATTAGCAATACAACATCTATTGACCACTTTGCAAATCCAATAATACCTCAAAAGGGAGTTCTTTCCACTCCCTTCCATTCCAAAAGGTTAAGAAAACAAACAAAACAAACGCAAAGAAAAATAAAACGCGGAGATGGAAGCTAGATATATAATTAATTACATACGTACCTTGACAAGTTTGAAGAAGATAGGGATTTCCTTCAAAGCCTTCTGGGCAGTAACAAGGAAGCGTTGAGCGATTGTTGTAATCCAAAGCAGTGGGGCCAAGGCAGTATGGTGTACCTTGATAATTATAATAATAATATGGATCAAAAGAATAGTTTGTAACGTGTCTTCCAAATAATGCGAATGAAGAAGTAGAGTTGATTATATTCCATTCTAGCACCACAGGAACGTGCCCTCTACTCTTGACTGCATGAGCAGAAGATGAATTATCAAACCAATCCTTGTCAACCAGAAACGCATAGTCGCTGCAATTGGGCGTTCGACCTTCGCCTTGGTATAGAATGGAAGCGCCCATCATAGTGAGATATGGAGGAATGGTAGTCTGGCAACAGTTGATACCAATATCACAGAAGGAAGCATTCTTTTGATGATCACAAACTGACCTACAGCCACCAACCACAAACTCAGCTGATTCCATCATGGCAAGGAAGCCGCAGCTGACAGCAGTGAATCTGTTTCTGTCCTGAGAGTAGACGAAAGGGCTGCCCGTCAAATTAGCCATTTCGCTACTTCCAGTTCCGTTGCAGAAGAAGGTAACGGGGCTGTTCACCCGAAGCGTGCCTTCAATAGAAATATTCAGCACCTCCAGTTGGGCTAGCTTCAAAAAAGGCTTGTAATGAGGAGCAGAGCTGGTAGTTTTAGAAGACAGGTTGTTGCTGCACTCGATTTCAAACCAGTCGTCTAAGTAGCAAGATTTGTTAGATCCAATTCCAAAAGGGTATGGGATGAGGACGTCTCCGCAATTCTCTTGGCAACCATACATTGCCATCGGAGGAACTACTTCTGCCGCACATATATTTATCGACAGAAGCAATAAGAATAAGATCATCATATGAAGTGCTTGCGATTGCATTGTTCCTATGCTCGGATAATAAAAAGTAAAAGATTATCAAGCAAAAGTTTTCTTTGCAACTTAGTGCTTGTACTATATATAATAAAGACCCCTTGTCGATTGAAGAAAAGTGGGTTCGAATTGAAGGCTACTTTTCATTCTGTAATGTTTAGTAGTTGAGAATATTCAAGTGTTCCTTTCTCTTCCTATCCACATAAAAAATAAATAAATAAATAAAGTTGACTTGACTTGAGTCACTCAGTAAATTATTGTGGCCATAATGAAATTAAAAATGAAAAGTATTCTTATTTTGTCGTTTTCAAGTACATAAAAATGCTGTGAAATCAAGTCAATGATTACATAGAGCTCAGCAAACGTAACATTAACTAACTAAACAATAATATTTTGAAAGGTCATTCAACACAAGAGAAACAGAGTTTTATTTGGTTTTATTTTCACAAGCGAAGCCAGAAAATTGGTTCCACAAGGTGATAGTCTAAAATCTTCTAACGTCTCGTCTAAAGATTTTCTCGAGTGATTTAGTCATAATTAATTTTTATATATCCGATGATTTGTGTTTAAATGGCAATCATTCTGTTTAGCAAATCAGCCACTATAATCTTCTTGGTTGAAACTGCAGTAACATTACAATATTACATATCATTGACCTATGAGTAGTACTGTTACAAGTCAAGTCCACTAACTACGACAAATTATTCAGGTTTACCATTTCTTCTTCAGAAGAAAAAACAAACACACTGGAGCAAGAAGTTTGAGGTGAACTTTCTTTGCAATGTGTTTGGGAGCTTTATTACACCTAAAATGGACCCCACAAAATGACAAATATTCATACTTTTTATAAATCATTTACTAACTCTTGTATATTTCTTTGCTTTGTCTATTGACCAACTTGTAGAGTATTTCACACCCAAGGATGGATGGAAAGTTAGCTTAAAAGTTTAAGAGATGTAGGGTCTCTTCGCACATGACCAATTAGTTTAGGGTTTAATGCTCATACTCTATGCCCTACATAAAGGATTAGTAGAATTGAAGGGAATCAATTGTTGTCTAGGATTTATGTTTTGATTGAGCTGTATGGAAAAAGTAAACCTAAGGAACTAGACTTGACCGTAATTGATTCTACTAATCCTTTATGTAGGGCATAGGGATTTCTGTTATCTTGTGTGGATAAGAAATGCTTTTGCAGAATTATATTGCATATTATCATGCATTCCTCTCTTTCTTCTTTGTTTCCAAGTTGTTGTTTGCCAAGATGTCCAACTCAACATATGTGATGAGAAGAAAATGACGCAATTGAAAAGTAAAAGATTCTCAAACAAAAAATTTCTTTGCAACTTAACCATTAGGCTTTCTTTGCAATGGAAACAAATTGAATGGTACTTTTCTTTTGGTAACGTGTGTAGAGCTGTCATGATTGTCTGTCTGATATGTCTGGTGACAGAGAATTCAATTAGGAATTGAATTCCTGATTTTGAAGGAATTCAATTCTTGAATAGGAGGTGGTATTCTAATTCAATTATTGACCAACTTGTATAGTATCTCACACCGAAGGATGGAAAGTTAGCTTAAAAGCTTAAGAGATGTAGGGCCTCTTCGCACATGACCAATTAGTTTAGGGTTTAATGCTCATACTCTATGCCCTACATAAAGGATTAGTAGAATTGAAGGGAATCAATTGTTGTCTAGGATTTATGTTATGATTGAGCAGCTGTGTGGAAAAAGTAACCTAAGCAGCCAGACTTGACCGTAATCAATTCTACATTGAGCATAACCCATCCATTTCCAGGCGGCTCCCACCTTAGCATAAACTGAGTTCTAGGCACATTCCTACAATTCACACTAGAAGCCTTAACCCAATCCAAAACAGCAGCACAAATAATCTTCCTAGGATCACAAGGTAAGTCCTCAACATCATTAAAAATGTACTTGTTACGCCACTTCCATACATACCAACAAGTGAAAACAAACATGATATTCCAAGGAGACCTCCCTTCCCACTTAGCTTTAGAAAAGAGATTGCTCTGAAGCCACGAAGGATAATCAGATAAGAAAAAATCATGAAAATTACTTGGAGGCAGAACAGTAAGCCATACTTCCTTAGCACGCCCACAATCCCTAAGAGTATGAATGATATTTTCAGAGTGCCAACCACAAACAGAACAAGAAGACTCCACAGCTAAATGTCTCATAACTCTTTGCTCATTAGTTAGGATCCTACCTTGGAAAAGAAGCCATAAGAAAACTTTCAACTTAGGCATGATAGACATACTCAACAGACCCTTCCAACAAGCACTAGACCAAATAGAACCCCCATGGATCAGCTGAAAAGCAAATTTAACAATATAGATGCCATTAGAAGTGGGCTTTCATATCTGAGTATCTTGACTATTACCTCCAAAACCAACAGGAAAACAGGTGATCTTTTGCACCATATCCTCATCAAGAACAGCTCTTAACTTCTCAGCATCCCACCACCCTTCTTTAAAGAAATTAGAAACCTTGCAGTCCAAATCGATCCCTGACTGCACCCCTGCACACTGTAACAAAGTGAGATCAGCCACCCAATGGTCCTTCCAAAAATTCGCCTTGTCCCCATTCCCTACTCTCCAAACCATTCCCTTTCTCAGCAACTCGACACCATAGAGAACACTTCTCCAAGTAGCAGAACAATCTTGCTTGGAGACCCCAGGAGTATCCAAGATAGAGCAGCCATTTAGGTACTTCTTTTCATAAATTTGAGCCCATAACCCTTGATCACGAGTGTGCATCCTCCAACCAATCTTTGCTGAAAGGGCCCTATTCATGTTTGCAGTTTTCTTGAATCCTAGACCAGCCCTACATTTAGGACGACAAACCAAATCCCACTGGCATAAACGAACCTTTTGCTTTTTTCCACTGCCTCCCCAAAAAAAATCCCTATTAATTCGATCAAGATCTTCACAAATGCTACCTGGTAACTTAACAGTTTGCATCGTATACACAGGTATGGAAGATGTGATAGCTCGGATGAGGCTAGCTCTGCCAGCTAAGGAAAGACACTTCCTTTTCCAGGAAACAAGCCAACTTTGCACTTTATCAAGCAGACCATTATACGTAACTTTAGTCACACAACTATGCAAAAGGGGCATACCTAAATATTTTCCCAAACCCTTTGTGATGGGAGAGCCACAAATAGCACCAATCTCTTTTGCCACCATTTTACAAGTATTCGATGAGCAAAAAATTGCAGACTTAGCAAAGTTCACAGTCTAACCAGAAGCACTACAGAATAAATCCAAACAATCTTTCATCACTCGAGCTTGACAGGGAGTAGCTTCAGCAAAAAGCACAAGGTCGTCAGCAAAGAACAAATGAGACACACTAGGACCATTTCAGAGGTTTTGATAGGCTTCCAAAGTTTTCTCTTAACAACATCAACAATAATATGAGACAGTTTCTCAATACGAAGAACAAAAAGGTAAGGGGAAAAAGGATCCCATTGGCGAATGCCACTGCTAGGAGAAAAAGGATCAATCAATTCACCATTGATGCAAATATGATATCTCACAGTAGACACACACTGCATAATAAGTTGAATAAAACTAGTAGGTAATCCCACTTCCAAAAGAACAGACTCAATAAAACCCTAGTTAAGCCTATCATAGGCTTTAGAGAGGTCAATCTTCCAAGCAAACATCCTTTTTTTCCCCTTAGCTGACTTAAACTTGTGTATAAGCTCTCGAGCAATCATTATATTATCAGTTATATGACGGCCTGGCACAAAACTAACTTGATTGGGACTAATCAAGTTGGGCAAAATAGTGCGTAGACGAGAAACCAAAATCTTAGAGATGACTTTATACAAAGTGCAGCACAAACTTATTGGTCTAAACTGAACCATAGAGTGAGGATTCTCCACCTTGGGGACCAAAGTAATTAAAGTGGCATTAAGATCCATAGGAATTTACTCTTCTGAAAAGCTTCACACACCATATCATATATATCATGAGCACACAAGTCCCACTAGTGTTGATAAAAACAAGCAGGAAACCCATCAACACCAAGGGCCTTAAGACCACCAATACCAAATAAACTATCCTTCACTTCCAACAAATCAATAATTTTCACCAAGGAGGCAATCTCACCATCAATTACTGAAGGGAAAAAACAAGGAAGACTCACATTAATAGCAGCTTGAACAGGAGCAAAGAGTTTGGAAAAGAAACCCACAGCCAGATCTTTAATACGTGCAGCATCCTCCACCCAAACCCCTTCATCATCCTTTAACCGCTCAATTCTATTTCTCCTTCGTCTAATTATAGTTGTGAGATGAAAAACTTAGTATTTCTATCCCCTTCCTGAAGCCATTTCAACCTGGATTTCTAATGCCAAAATAGAGGTTCTTGATCCATAAGAGAATTAAACTCATCATGCAGCTACACTTCCAAATTACTTAGAAAAGAATTAGGTCCCTTACAAACAGCTCTTTGGATCCCAGACAACCTAGCCACCACCCTTGCTTTCTTTTGTCTAAAATGCCCAAACACATTTTTATTCCACATCTTAAGGGGCTCAACAAAGGCACACGACTTATCGAAAGCAGAGCCAGAAAACCCCAACCAATTCTGCACTCAGCATGCTTCAACCACATTGCCTCAAACCGAAATGGCCGCAAATGAGGAGTATACTGAATTGAAGACTGCAAGCAAATCTTAATTGGACTGTGATCAGATTTAGTTCAAGGCAAGTGCCTCACATAAGCTTCAGCAAACACACGTCTCCAAAGAGTATTGCAAACAACCCTATCAAGCCTTTCCAAGATCCTTTTGTTGGTGCAAGTGTATTTAGGACCAGTGAAGTGCAATTCACACATTTCATTCTCATCAAACCAAGCTTTGAAACCTCTTAAACAACACCGAGGAACTCCACTTAACTTGTCATCAAAATGAAGAAAATAATTGAAATCCCCAGCCAAGAGCCAAGGCATATCATGACAGCTCACAACGAAATTAAGATACTCCCAGAGTTTAGCCCTTTTAATCTCACAGGGCTTAGCATAGATAGCTAAAAATAGCCAAGGAGACTGCCCAGGCCAAGAAACACACGTAGAGATAGCTTGATCATGAGTACCAATGATCTCCACATTCACCTTGGAATCATCCCAAAGCAGCCATAAACCCCCAGAAAAACCCATAGGATCAACAATCTCAAAACAAGGAAAACCTAAAGACTTAACCATTGACATAGCTTTAGAGCCACTTATCCTTAGCTCACACACAAATAAAATCTCCATATGATGAACACGAATCAATTCCATCATATTATTCCTAAACGTAGTGCCCGAAGCACCCCTTGCATTGCAACAAAGAATATTCATAAAGTCAATCAATAAAAGGTGAAAAACCTAAGGGCTAACCCTTAACAGTCAAAAGTCATATCTTCACCTATGGTGAAGGTACTATCTGCCGAAACCCCATTAGGAGGGTCCACATGGCTTGCAGCCAGGTCCATTTTCTCTGCTGGAATCAAGCCCTCCTGAGTAGAAACAGCAAGAGAATCAACATCTACATCAATATCCACCTCTTCCTTAGTATCAACACAATTAGTGGCTATGTTGGGTGGTTGATGGCCAAAGTGATAGACCCTTGTAGCCCAATACGCATCTTGACCATTCGTCCAAATATTCAACTGGTTAGTCAAAGATATTTTCCCACTAGCTTTTTTCCCCTCATAAACCAAATTACTTTTATTCACCAATTGTCCAACTTTAGAATAGCTAGCCTCCTTCACCTTATCAACAGTAGCTTGCACTTTCCCTTTTTCCTTGACATTCAGATTAGAAATGTCATTCAAGACAGTTCTAGCTTTACCAAGATTATCCTTAGACTTGGTCCAAACTTTCGATCCTTTTCCAGCATCTCTGACCGATGATCCCAGCTGCTCAGTGCAAGTTTGAGTAGCCTCACCCCTCTCAGCCCTACCATCAATCCCAAAATTCTCACCCACATGTCTCAACACATCAAATCTAGAACCCGTATTTCGACCTCCCTTGCCTCCAACTTCCTGAGTCACACCTTTAGGTCTCCGTCAAGCTGGAACATTCATCCATGTCCCACGCAAATTCTCAATACCAGCATTACCTTTTTTCCCCATTACAATATCACCTCCTACCAAACCATCATCACCCAAATTGGATCCATCACCAATCTTATCCACAGAGGCAGCATCTGGCACATCACAGTGCTCCCTTTTGTGACCATAACAACCACACATATAACAAATGTCCAGAAGGCCTTCATACTCCACATTATACCAAACATTGTTAATTTGGACAAAAGCCTCAAGAGGCCGAGACAAGTCCAACTCTACACAAAGTCGTGCAAATTTCCCCCGATTCTGAGAAGTAGTGAGAGCATCAATCTTCAACAACTTCCCCAACAAATTCCCAATTCTTTTCAAAGCCCACACATCGAAACACTCCAATTGAATCGCAGAGACACGAATCCAAGCGGCCATTCGAGTGATCTTCTCAGTTGCAGGACAAAACCCAGGCCTCTATTTCTGCATAACCAAATATTGACCAGCAATGATCCATGGTCCCCCCAGTCAAAACGAAATTAAGATCCTCCTCAAGCTCAAAACGAACCACAAAGTAATAATTGACCAAATCAACCAGTTTCCACCCTCCATTTGGGCTCCACTTTTGTTGAAGTCGAGCATGAAGATAGTTGTAGGTATGCGATCTCCCAAGGAGTTTGATAATAAGAGCATTCTGCCAAGGTTTGCAGAGACGATCCATGGTGCGATCCGAAAACTGGATGCACTGCCCACGATCACCACGAGAAATAGTCACATCCTCATCGTCATTCAAACCCTCATATTTTGCCTCTAAGGAATTAACATCAATTCCAACATTTCGAACCAGATTTACCTTATTCATGAGGTTATCCCTAAAGCTCTCATAACCAGAAGCCCATTTGGGTAGCACCATGTCTGCAGATGGCGGCACAACCATGTTGGGCACGAACATCATCTCACTATCCATACCCCCAACATCCGTTGCACGACTTCGCTTGGGTACCCTGTAATCCTTAAGAAAAACTCCAGGCGAGCCTTCCTCCATGGAGAAACGACGCCCAAAACCACAATCAACAACAGAAAACACTCAGATCTACACCTGGAAACCGCCGTAGATTGCAGTTCCCAATCGGCAGCGATGGAAAACGAAAAACTCAGAAAATTGGGCTCGTGCGTGAAGCGCATGTCAGAAAAGCTGTCAATCCCTTCAATTTGATCCGTTTTAGGTTTCCCTTTCGCTCACTTTAATTCCTGTCTCTTTGCAATTTTTAACACAAAAGAATGACCTAAAAAATCACTCAATAGAAAGATCACATTTTTATACAGAAAAAAGACTTCCTTCAAAAGGAAGTTCATTAATTGATTTTTTTTTATACTACTAAATAAAGTTAAAGAGCATTTTCAGTGACAACTAAATATATATATATATATAACTCCAAATAATCAGATTCCATAGGAAGTTCATAGTTTTATTTATATTTATTTATATCCCTTGCTGCCTTTGGAGTCTGATTATTTGAAAAGAAAAAAAAATTTCCTAAAATTCTAGCATACGAAATTTTAGATTTAAACCAATGTCTCTCCTTATTACTCCCTTTGGAATCTTTCAGGCAACAAAAAATAAAACTAACGTTTTTTCTTATTTAATTTTTAAGTCTTATTTGAATATCTCATTGCCTTTAGAGTCTTTTGAAAAAAAAACGTTTTTTTCTTAATTAATTTTTAACAAGGTGGTAAGAAGTTTGTAAAAAAAAAGGATAAATTAAAGAAAACAGTAAAATCAATATATTTAATAATCGTAAAATTGGAAAACTAATGATGGTTTGTTTGATGCATTAATTACATTGTTTTAAGTGTAAGAAAATGGACACATGTCATGAAGAAAAAGGAGAAAGTGCAAAAAAAAAGGTTGGAAAGAAGGTTGCTAGCATTCCCCTTTCTAGCTACTTAAGACAATAAATTAGATACTAAACTTCATGGTTGTGGTAGACTTTAGCGCTTTATTTCTTTGTCATTTGGGCGGGGAGTCCAATATATTGGTACAGGTACACGTGGTCCTTGGTCGAACAGTAATATAGGTAAGCACTAATCGGGCATTAATCATGTTAATTATTCTAACAGAAGCGGGGTCCAGCTTATCCTGCAGTAGACTGGGCCAAATTTTTGAGGTGGATGTCTAACTATACCTTTCTCAGTGCAACGATGGAGGATCCAAATTTTTGTCAAGAAAAGTAATAAATATTAACAATTTAGACAAAAATTAAAAACTTGGCAACATCTAAATTATAAGAAAAGAAGAAGAAAATAATAGTGTTCTTGTGAATTTTTATTTGAGGATTTATTTTTCTACTTGACGAGAAAAGCATCACATGAGTTCGCATTGTTGGGCTATAAATTATGGAAGTTTCCAAGAATAAATTTAGGTAGAATTAGGTATGAATTTAGGAGACGTTGCTACAAAAATCCACCCTTTGATGCCAGCAAAGGCATGACGTCACCACTTGCATCCTTGGCCCAGAGCATTAATTCCAACATTCATCGTGGAAATGAACTATTTCCATCAAAAGATCTAAAACCTACCTCTCTTATTCCATTCGGACAAACAGAAAAAACAAAAAAAATCCTCTCTTATTCCATATGGAGAAAGCTTCACAGCTAGTCGTCATCCCATCCGGCCGCATCGGCCATCTCGTCTCCGCTGTCGAGATGTCGAAGCTCCTTGTTTCCCGCCACGACCAACTTTACATCACCGTCCTCATCATGAAGCTACCCTTCGACTCCAAGGGCACAGAGGCCTACAGAGCCTCCCTCGAAGCCTCTCCCGTATTGCCACGTGTCAACTTCATCACCCTCCCAAAAGTCCCAGACCTAGACAAGCACCTCAGCTCCCACTCCTTCCGCAACCAGTTCATCGAAAGCCACAAAACCAACGTCAAAAACGCGGTCGCCGAACTCACCGAGCCACAGTCCGATTCAAGGCCTCGGCTTGCTGGCTTCGTCATCGACATGTTTTGCACAACAATGATCGATGTGGCGGATGATTTTGGGGTTCCTACGTACATGTTCTTCACTTCACCTGCTGGGTTTCTCGGGCTGCTGTTTAACCTGCAAAGAATTCGCGATGTGTATGGCAAGGACGTCAGTGAGTTCAAAGACTCGGACACTGAGTTGTCCTTGCCCACTTTTGTCAACTCGGTTCCCGGCAGAGTCTTGCCTAGTGTGGTTCTGGACAAAGAGGGCGCGGAGACGTTTCTAAGCTATGCCAAACGGTATACAGAAACCAAGGGCATTTTGGTAAATACATTCAAGGAGCTAGAATCACATGCTCTTGATTCTCTTTCTGATGGTGAAACCCCCCCTTTGTATCCTGTGGGTCCCATCTTGAATCTGATTAGTGATGAGACCCAATCGGGTTCGGAGCAGGCCCAACAGAAGTCTGATATATTGGAGTGGCTAGATGATCAGCCTCCTTCGTCAGTGGTGTTCCTGTGCTTTGGGAGCATGGGAAGCTTTGACGAGGACCAGGTGAGGGAGATAGCGTTGGGGCTGGAGCGGAGTGGGCTCCGATTCTTGTGGTCTCTACGCCAGCCCCCACCAAAGGGGACCGTTGTGTCCCCTGGTGACTACTCGGATCTCAAGGGGGTCTTGCCCGAAGGGTTCCTCGATCGGACGGCTGCGATGGGAAAGGTCATAGGGTGGGCTCCGCAGGTGGCGATCTTAGCCCACCCGGCAGTAGGAGGGTTCGTATCCCACTGCGGGTGGAATTCCACGCTTGAGAGCCTATGGTTCGGAGTGCCGATGGCCGCGTGGCCGGTGTACGCGGAGCAACAATTAAATGCCTTTGAATTGGTAAGGGAGTTGGGATTGGCAGTGGCAATTAAGATGGATTATAGGAGGGACACCCAAGTGGTTGTGAGTGCGGAGGAGATAGAGAGAGGGATAAGGGAGGTGATGGAGCATGATAGTGATGTAAGGAAGAGGGTGAAAGAGATGAGTGAGAAGAGCAAAAAAGCCTTGATGGAAGGTGGCTCCTCACACTCTTCATTGGGACATTTTCTTGATCAGATTTTCCTTTGATATATTAGGAAAATCCTAGAAAAATAAGAAATTCCTACTGTTTTTGTTTCTATCATGAGTGTATATATGCTCCTTCACCACATGAACTGAGGTTGATATATTTATTTCGGTGCACGTTCAAGATCTTCAATATCTTAATCAATTATATAATAGAATCAGGGGCAGAGCCGAAACCAGGCTTGAAGCGATCTTGGCTTGCCTCCATTAAAAACGGCAAAATTTGGATGAGGGAAGGAAACCATGATCTGTACGCCTTTTAAATTAACAATGAAAGTGATTTGCCGATCGGTTCATTATAATTGTCTTCTATTCATCAACTTTCTACGTCAATTTTGTGGTGCATACCCAAAAAAGAAAAATGTTGTTAAATGAATAGGACATAATAGTGTCAACATCCTGAAAATACTGTTTTGAATTTGAAAAAGAAAAACTCCAAGTGGTTATCCATAGAATCAAGCATCCTGAAAATACTGTTCTGTTAAATTCTGACCTCATCCTTGTTGATAAGTCCTGTGAAGTGGTGTATTTAAAGTTACTCATTGAATTCTGACCTCGTCCTTGTTGCCAGCTCTCTACTGCCAAGTCCACGACGACTTGTCAGACCAAAACCAATTACGATAACTTTTGTCCTGGCTTGGTTTCCAAGTAAATAAGTTTATCAAATTTTCATAGTCACAAGATTAATATAAAAGACAATCTTGACTAAACAAATGCCAGCAAAGGCATGACGTCGCCTAGCCAAAATGAAAACAAGTAATGAAAACAACGTTCGAAACACCACCGTGAACATGCACATGAACATGATGTATATAAAGATGTTTCATGAGCTGAGTTTTTCATCAAATATTTATTATTTCTTCATCTCCCAAAATTAATCAAATAATGAAGAGATCAGCACAACTTGTGTTCATCCCAGCCCCAGGCGCTGGCCACATCGTGTCAACGGTCGAGATCGCAAAGCAACTCGTTGCTCGAGATGACCAGCTCTTCATCACCATCCTCATCATGAAGCTCCCCTTCGACAAGCTCTTCACCAATACAGACCCTTCAATCTCACACCGCATCAGCTTCGTCAACCTCCCGGAGTCCCACATCGACACACAGGGCCTTGCCTTCACCTCCTTCATCAAAACATTCGTCCAAGGCCACAAAACCCACGTCAAAAACGCCGTCAAAAAGTTACTCGCTGAGTCCGCTCAGGTCGAGCTTGTCGGGTTTGTCATCGACATGTTCTGCACCCCCATGATCAACGTGGCAGACAAATTCCAAATTCCTTCCTACCTCTTCTTCACCTCCAGCGCAGCAACTCTAGGGTTCTGGTTCCACCTCCAGTCACTTCATGATGAGCAAAGGAAGGACGTTGCTGAGATAACTGGGTGGGATTCTGAGTTGATTGTCTCAAGTTTCATCAACCCCGTGCCTGCTGGAGTCTGGCCGGGAGTGACGCGAACGAAGGAAGGCGCCACAGACTTCATCGATTTTGCAGCGGGGTTCAGACAAACCAAGGGTATTTTGATAAACACTTTCAGGGAGCTGGAACCACATGCTCTTCGTTCTCTTTCTGATGGTAAATTCCCACCGGTGTACCCTGTGGGGCCCCTGTTGAATATGAAGAGTGATGATGGCCACGTTGGCTCGGACCAGTCCATACAAAAGTCTGATATCTTGGAGTGGCTTGATGATCAGCCTCCTTCCTCGGTGGTGTTCCTGTGCTTTGGGAGCATGGGAAGCTTTGATGAGGCGCAGGTGAAGGAGATAGCGTGTGCGCTGGAGCAAAGCGGGCAGCGGTTCTTGTGGTCCCTAAGGCAGCCCGAGCCAAAGGGCAAGATGGGGATGCCGAGCGATTATGCGGATGTCAAGTTAGTCTTGCCTGAAGGGTTTCTTGATCAAACGGCTGGGATAGGGAAGGTCATAGGATGGGCTCCACAGGTGGCCATTTTGGCCCATCCGGCGGTGGGAGGGTTTGTGTCCCATTGTGGGTGGAATTCTACGCTGGAGAGCCTATGGTGTGGTGTGCCGATTGCCACTTGGCCGTTGTACGCAGAGCAACAACTAAATGCGTTTGGGCTGGTGAAGGAGTTGGGATTGGGTGTGGAAATTAAGATAGATTATAAGAAGGACAGTGAAGTGGTGAGTTCAGAGGAGATAGAGAGAGGGATAAGGCGAGTGATGGAGAAGGACAGTGATATAAGAGCGAGGGTGAAGGAAATTAGTGAAAAGAGCAAGAAAGCGTTGACGGATGGTGGTTCTTCATATTCTTCCTTGGGACGTTTTCTTGACCAGATTTAAGTTTAGATTCGTTAAAGCTCAAGATGATGCATAGAAACCACAGTTGTTAATTTTCATAGGAGATTTGATGAGCAGATATTCTCTCCGTTTGTTTTACATATCGTAGTTCCTAATAAGGAAGTGTTTTCTGTAATGTGATTGGTCCTTTTTAAAAATCTGAGGATATTGTCAACATGATGACGATGATGATTGTCTTTTTCATCAAGAATAATTATAAACAAAAGATGAAAGTTTGACCTCTCTTGCTTTTTGACAAGTATAATTATAAACTCTGAAATTCAACGCATATTTTCCAAATACATAAAAATGTTGTGTTTAAATGGCAATCATTCAGTTTAGCTATGGGTCTTCTTGGTTGAAACTGCAGTTACATTCCTCACTGGAAAAGTTTACTTGAGAAGGAGAAAAAGATAACATATATATGGAACATGCATTACAATATTACAATTAAGAAATATTTCATCATTGTTCAACGTGACCTGGAAGGTAATAGTGGAACTTCATGTAATGACGAAAAGCAAGACCACCATCCAAACCTAGCCATGTGCCTATTGAGCTTGAAACGACATCCCAAGGATTAGTTGATTCAGTTCGAACATATTCAACCTCTTAATAATTTTGCTCCCCATTTGATCCAGATCTGCTGTGACCTCTCTTATTGTAGGACGCTTCTTTTCATTTAAATTCAAACACCTCCTTGCGAGTTTTTTTTTAAAAAAAGAAAAAAATGAAAATGAAAAGTTGACTAGCTACTTGATTTGAGTCACTCATGCAGTGCATGCTCAGTAAATTATTGTGGCCATAACAAGACGAATCACTATTTGTTATTTCGAACCAGATCATGCATGAAAATTTTGCATAATACTTTGCTACATTATGCAAAACAAGCGAAACAGAGTTTTTCTTTGTTGCTCCTTAACCCACTTGAAGAAACAGAGTTTGAGCTTTATTTTATTTTTACTGTATAACCAACACAAGCGAAGCCTTAAGACAAGTTCCATAAGGCAATAGTCTAAAATCTTCTAATGCCGTCTAAGAGCATCTCCAACTATTATATCAAATTATCACATGGACATGGAATGACAAAAATTGAAAGTTAGTTGCTTCAACCAAATAGTCAAATCCTACATAGATTTGAAGGCTGAAAGAGATATGTCAAAAATAGCATATCAAAATACTTAGATGTCAAATGTTATTTTATTTTTATTTTTTAAGTCATGAACCCCATTATCATGTACTATTTTAAAAACTTGATGCATCATATAGGCCCCATTTGCTTTTTAAAATATAATACAATAATATGATATTTGGCACTTCGGGTGGAGTTAAATTTTTTTCAAAGTGTCAAATTGCCACATAAGTCATCAAATTCAAATTTAACATTTTGCATTTGACATCTCTCTTGAAGATGCTCTAAAGTATAGTTAAACGGAAAATAATTAATTAATTAATGGTGATTGATGATAAGCCTATATTTTATATATATTTTATGCCTCCTTTACTTATTTATTTGTTAATTTCATTGGATTAAATTAGTTGTTTTAATTGGTTTTGTGAGATTTGTGAAGGAATTGTGGAAATAGGAGAAAGTCTGCTAAAAAGGGCAATAAGATGAGGATTGAAGATTAATCAAGTCAAGAAGCCAAGTCATTCCTTTTGTCGCAAGAAATGTTGTCAAATTTCCTAGTTCAAGATGGTTCAAGTCTTATCAAGTCAAACAAGGAGAAATAAAGAAGACCCTATTTTAAGAGGAATCCTACTTTTATAACAATTGTAATTACATCTTAGATAGGTAGGATTTGTAGGAGTATTATAAATAGGGAGTTTAGGTCATTATTCAAGGGACCCCATCATCATACATATTCATACTCATAGCCGAAATATCCAAAGGAGAATACGAAGAAAGCTTGCTCAACCATGGCATTCTACTAGGAGAATTCAGTGTCTTCCATGTCTTCATCAACCATCAAGATTCTCAATAAGTCCTTCATGAACTAATTTCTTTTACTAGGGCTACGACGTAGCCTACTTATGAATACTCAAATTCTTTGATATTGTTAATTCTATTTATTTTTACATGTTGAGTGCTTGTTACCGTTCTTAATGCTTTCAATTAGTTGACCATTAATTGCATGATTGGGAGAATTAGGTTGAGACCGGAAGGAGATTCCTAGTAAATAGTTTTTTGCAACAAGTACCATAAATTACATAGTCAACTCGGAAGACTAGGTTATGGTTTGTGTAATCTTTATTGTTTTCCACAAATCTTAATGGGTTCTTAGCTATCTAAATCCATAACTAGGAATAGAGTGGGTTGATGGTAAGGAATACAACTAATATAACTCGGAAGAGAGTATTGGTAAGGTAAGGGAAAACGATTATCAACATGTTAGGTAAATAGAATTAACAAGTTAGAAGGATTTGGGTGGGATTAACTAGGTGAAATCGATGTCCTAGTGCTTTATCATCTTGGTTTTAATATGTTATATTATTTCCTTAATCTCAATTTATATTGCTTGCTTAATTAGATTTTAATCATCATAATTCTCTTTTCATTTAATTCAAATATAATTAGAAATAAATCACTCTAGTATTTAATAGATTACTTGATCCCTGTTGGAACGATACTCTACTTACTACTATATTAATTTGAACGATATTGTCCACTTGCAATTAATCACATCAATTGACTATACTCCAAACTGATTTCTCTTAATCCAGCTAAAATATTCAAAATCTAACATTTTCAAAACACCCTGTTCAAATAATTAATTAATGCCATTCAATTTTGATATGCAAAGTGTACAGTATTCTTTTGTCTGCACATGCACATGCGTGGTTTTGCTTTATGTTGAGAATTTTTTGCTTCTATGATGAGGATTTTTTTTTTATGCTTTAACCTGTGGCTTTATGCTTTGGGTATGATCCATATTTGACTAGTTTGTATCATATTCAAATGTGGGGTCTAGGATTTTCATGGAACTGATGTTAGCAAAGGCATGACGTCACCACCTGCATCCTTGGCCCAAAGCAATAATTCCAACATTCAATTGTGGTCACATATATCAAAAGATCTAAAATCTACCTCTCTTATTCCATTCTCTCTCTCTCTCTCATTCTCTCTCTCTCTCTCTCTCTCTCTCTCTCTCACACACACACACACACACACACACAAAACCTCTCTTATTCCATAGGGAGAAAGTGTCAGAGCTAGTCGTCATCCCATCCGACCATATCGGCCATCTCGTCTCCGCCGTTGAGATGTCGAAGCTTCTTGTTTCCCTCCACGACCAACTTTACATCACCGTCCTCATCATAAAGCTACCCTTCAACTCCAAGGGCACAGAGGCCTACATAGTGTCACGGGATGAGCGAGAGGCGCGGCACGGCAGAAGCGAAACACAAATTTCACCACTCAAAGCACATGCGTGCGGCCCAGGATCCCTTCGGATCCCAGTCAGCCTTCTCCCACTTCATGATATTCATGACTCTCACAACTCCGCGAGATGTTCCCCTTCAAGTGTCGTCTTCCCCTAGACAACGAGTCACACTACCATGTGACAATACAATCACTCTGCATCCGGCAACGAACCCTTAACGCCCATACATCAAGCGTTGCATAAGACACGTCAACTGCATCGACCAAGTCGCATGCTTAACTCATGGCTCGCTCATGTCCAAGTCAAGACATAGCGATCCAACACACCATCGATTTACCCACACTTTTGTCGGTCATTCCTTTAGCGTCTATGATAGCCCACATCCTCAAGCTATACACGCAAGCTGTCATACTTGCATGTCGCCTAAGCCTTGGCGACATATGTATTCCGAATGTCCCACATAACCATCTATGCATTGCATGGGGTCGCAACCCATGCGTACCGGCATCCGAATATCTTCCTTCCATCTTGGAGAAAGCCGAACCCAAGCCAAGTCCATCGAGTATTGTCAAATGCCTCGCTAGCCGATGGCATAGCGAATGTCATACATTGACCTCACTCTTTACAACGATGCGCAATACGAACGGCCCCGCGTGTTCGTACTGTCCTTGGGAATTCCTTTCCCTCGGAGACACAGATTATCCTTCAACAATCTTATACCCGCCCTTATGACTACCTCCAATGTCATAAGGATGCTCGCTTAGTGCCACAAGGGTGTAAGCACCATGGGTGGTGGAGAGCATGACACCATGTCACCCCCTATATAGCATTTTATGCATTTAGCCTTCTGCCAGGAGGAAACATCACCTATGCACGAGGAGTCATAATTGGGCATAACTCCCTCGTACGAACTCCGAATGGAGAACCGTCAGTTGCGTTTCCTGCGTCTCGACATCACGAACATTTCGGTATTCTTAGTTCCCTTAGGTTCCTCTCGTAACCTTCAGAAATGCCCAAAATACCCTTCACAAGTGCAACCCGGCCAACACCAACCATTCTAGCTCTTAAGCTCTAGCCCTTCCACACTTAGACTACCTCTTAAGCACATAGATGTCCCAACGGAGTCACGGTAGCACTTGTCTATGTGCGACCCGATAGCCTTCCTCAAAGCCTCTCCCGTATTGCGACGTGTCAACTTCATCACCCTCCCAAAAGTCCCAGACCACAAGCACCTCAGCTCCCACTCCTTCCGCAACCAGTTCGTCGAAAGCCACAAAACCCACGTCAAAAACGCGGTTGCCGAACTCACCGAATCACAATCCGATTCATATCCTAAATCAAAATTTAAGTCCTAGCCAGTGTGTGATACAATTAAGCCTATCAAACAACAAACTTGATCCATGACCATTTTAATTGAAAAAGTCTCGTCCAGTCTAGCCCACCAAAGAAAACCTTAGTATATTGTAGTTTGCGACACCAAATTTCTGTTAGGAAAATTAATAATATTAACAATTTAGACAAAGATTAAAAACTTGGCAAACCATGTCATAACCGTAAGGCAACTAAAATTGTCCACATCTAAATTATAAGAACGAAAGTGAAAAATACTTCAAATAACACGAAGAAAATAATTATGTTCTTGTGAATTTTTATTTGAGGATTTATTTTTCTAGTTGCCGACAAAAGCATCACATGACTCGCATTGTTGGGCTATAAATGGAAGTCCACGACCTCATCCTTGTTGCCCACTCTCTACTGCCAAGTCCACGACGACCTAACGAACCAAAACCAATTACGATAACTTTTGTTTTGGCTTGGTTTCCAAGTTATTAAGTTTATCAAATTTTCAAAGTCACAAGATTAATGTAAAAGACAATCTGGTGTATTCAATTAGGATTTTAATAGATTGTAATCACATGATTTTAATGTAATAGATTTCAACATGATTTGTAATTACAAGATTTTACTTATGATTTTAATAGATTGTAATTACATGATTCTCTTATGATTCACTTGGGATATTTTTGTATTCTCCAAAGAATCAATTGATTTGCTCTAGGATTTCATATGAAATAAAAATTATATAATAACATGGATTAATTATGCTACATGAATAAATAACCAAATGATAAAAGTAATAACAATAACGTCATGTAGCAACTAGACATGGCTTAAGGAAAACAAAAGTTATTCAAGACGTAATAAACATTTGTTGGAGCTTCATCTCCTCATATGACCTAGATAGCATCTCTCCACATAGCTGAAGCTATGCTAGCTCTCCATGTATTAGCATCCTCTCTTTGTTGGTCTTGGGTTTGATAAATCTGCTCAAAATTGTCCTCTTCATCAACTGGTATTGATGAGGATGAAGATGATGAAGATTCATCAGTTGGCTCAATAGGAAATTCATCGGAACGACACTCCTTACGAAGAAAGTTGTGTAATGCTGCACATGCCAACACTAGCTCTGCTTGTGTGTTAAATAGAAATGGAGGAGCTGACTTAAAAATTGTGAAGCGCGATTTAAAAATACCAAATATCCTCTCGATCACATTCCTTAAGGACGCATGACGAAGGTTGAACAACTCATTTTCATTTTCAGGATCACGACCATGACCTGCAAAATCTTGGAGATGATATCGCACACCTCGAAATGGAGCTAAAAATTGGCGTCGGTTGGCAAATCCACAATCCACTAAGAAATGTTTACCTAATTATATAGTACACATATATATATATATATATATATATTAGTATGCAACATAGAAATAAAACTCATTTCTAACAAAAAAGATAAGCATTTACCTTGAGGAACTTTAAGACCATTCCTCCTTGATAGAGCATCACTTAACACTTTTGAATCATGAGCCGAACCCTCCCATCCGCTAAGGACATACATGAATTCCAAATCAAAATTGCAAGCCGCTAATACATTTTGGGATATATTTCCATGTCGATTACGATAGTTGCTGACATCGCGTCCCCTCACTATTGCTGGAATATGTGTCCCATCAATAACTCCAATGCAATCCTGTAATAATTCAAAAATGTAATAATAATAATAATAATAATAATAATAATAATAATAATAATAATAATAATAATAATAATAATAATAATAATAATAATAATAATAATAATAATAATAATAATATAATAATAATAATAATAATAATAATAATAATAATAATAATAATAATAATAATAATAATAATAATAATAATAATAATAATAATAATAATAATAATAATAATAATAATAATAATAATAATAATAATAATAATAATAATAATAATAATAATAATAATAATAATAATAATAATAATATAATAATAATAATAATAATAATAATAATAATAATAATAATAATAATAATAATAATAATAATATAATAATAATAATAATAATAATAATAATAATAATAATAATATAATAATAATAATAATAATAATAATAATAATAATAATAATAATAATAATAATAATAATAATAATAATAATAATAATAATAATAATAATATAATAATAATAATATAATAATAATAATAATATAATAATAATAATAATAATATAATAATAATAATAATAATAATAATAATAATAATAATAATAATAATAATAATAATAATAATAATAATAATAATAATATAATAATAATAATAATAATAATAATAATAATAATAATAATAATAATAATAATAATAATAATAATAATAATAATAATAATAATAATAATAATAATAATATAATAATAATAATAATAATAATAATAATAATAATAATAATAAAATATAATAATAATATAAATTAATTAATAATAATAATAATAAAATAATAATAATTAATAATATAATACAATTAATAATCATATAATAATAATAATAAAATAATAATAATAATATAAATAATAATAATAATAATAATAATAATAATAATAATAATAATAATAATAATAATAATAATAATAATAATAATAATAATAATAATAATAATAATAATAATAATAATATAATAATAATAATAATAATAATAATAATAATAATAATAATAATAATAATAATAATAATAATATAATAATAATAATAATAATAATAATAATAATAATAATAATAATAATAATAATAATAATAATAATAATAATATAATAATAATAATAATAATAATAATAATAATAATAATAATAATAATAATAATAATAATAATATAATAATAATAATAATAATAATAATAATAATAATAATAATAATAATAGTAATAATAAGGATAATAATAATAATAATAATAATAATAATAATAATAATAATAATAATAATAATAAGGATAATAATAATAATAATAGTAATAATAAGGATAATAATAATAATAATAATATAATAATAATAATAATAATAGTAATAATAAGGATAATAATAATAGTAATAATAAGGATAATAATAATAATAATAATAATAATAATAATAATAATAATAATAATAATAATAATAATAATAATAATAATAATAATAATAATAGTAATAATAAGGATAATAATAATAATAATTATTATGGAATGGTTGTCACTTACCTTGAAATAAGGATAAAACCTTGTACTTTCTCTTATTTTAGATGGCACTCCCGATCCTGGTTTAGCCATCAACTCAGATGCTATTGTATTCAAAGCCCTCAAAACTTTGTGAAAATTTTCACTTGTGGCGAATTGTGATCGCCCAAATGTTTTACGAATGACACAATATCTAGAATTTTGACCGACAATTTGTAAAAATGCTGCTAGCATTTCTTCAACACAAATATATCTTGTGTCCTTTAAAAGTGTTTTTTCTCGAAGGATAGTGCATAATTTTTGGAACACATCAGGATACATCCTATATACCTGTCGGAAAATTGCGGGATCCTCGTTCAATGCCTGATGTATATAATCATATCCAACAGTAGTAATTCGTCGTCGAGTTAGCGGACGCTCAATATGTCCTTCATCCCCCTCTGACTGATGTAGCACTTGCATTAATGTTTGAGTTTCCATAAGTAAAATCTTAATGCCTTCATCAAATTCTTCATCCAAATCTTCATCTATTTCTTGTTCACCAATTTCTTCATTCTCCATTTCTTCTTCCTCTCTGTGAAAAAAAAAAACAAAATTAACCAACAAATTAGGAATTGTAGACAGTGACATTGTTTGTAGAATTCAAATACATGAGACTACAAAGAAAATAAAAGATTAAAAATTAATTCTTTATCATGTAATTAACATGTTGATAAATAAAAAATAAAAAAGAATTCATACATATTAATTAGAACAATCAATTTGAATGAAATAAGAGCTATTGTTTCTAGTGATTAATGGAGACGTACTGTTTGCATGAGGACCTCATATTACTTTGTATAGATGATAGTTTTAGTTGGTCATATTACTTTATCGTTTCTAGTGATTTTCATACATATTATTTTAGTTGGTCACCACTTTTTGTTCATGGTGTGAAAAAAAAAAAGCATATTCATGGAAATTAAAATACAACAATGAAAACCAAATACATAGTCCAACCAAAATATATAGTTCAACAAAAATAGGAAAAAGTTCAATCAAAATATAACAAATTAAACCAAATGCATAGTTCAAAATGCATAGTTCAACCAAAATACATAGTTCAACAAAAATACCAAAAATCAAATTCATAGTTCAACAATTCAAAGTAAACAATTTTCAACCAAAAACCAAGGTGATCCAAATAACAATTCATCCCAATTTGAAGGATATCCAAGATGAGCGCTCTACGGGTGACATCTTCAAGAACATGTCTTGTTTGACTTTAGTATTAAGCAATTCAATCGCCAAGAATCGAGCATTGTCATCCAAGTTTGGTACATCCTTCATAGCATCCCAAATACTATTCTCTCTATCTCTTTCTCTTTTCTCCATTAGAGCATAGATTTTCTCAAAATTGGTGGATATGGTTTCAAGAACTTTGGCTTGGTTGGTGGAACCAATTGAGTTAGAACTCCCATCATACTCGGATCTACTTCGCTTCTTTTGACTTGTTTTTCCTTGAGGAACCTCAACACCTAAAGGGGACTCAAAGGGTGGTGTAGATTGGTTGGGTGATGAAGGTTGGAAGGATGGTTGATAGTGACTTGGTGCTACAAATGTCTCATTGGCAGCATCATATGTAAAGTCTTCCATCCCAAAATTTAGGTTTTCCTCGTCCCTAAAAGTTGTTGCATCAGTATCATTGACACCTAATGCAAGTGAGCCATTTCCAGTAGCAGTTGCACCCCCAACCACAATTTTTAAATCATCATAATTAGCAACACTTTCTGTCTGAAGGTTCTTGTGACTTGGGTGGGACTAGCAAAGAAAAAAAAATGATGAGTGTTAATATATTATAAATAAAATATTAGAGCAAGCTAGTAAGTGACATAGCTTATAATATGAAGCTCACCTTCAAGTAATTTTCCCATACTTCATCACTAGCCGTGAACTTCTTTGTAATTGGGTCCCACCCAAATCCAGAGTTGTTACGCATAAGAGTAGTCATTTTGTCAAACTGCTTCTTATACCATCTCATTCGGCTCACGTAATTGTTATATGTTTTAGGAGACACGGTTTTCTCATTTAGGCGAGGAAGTACTCTTTTTTCTATTGTTTGCTTACTTATTGACCCATTAGTATCACGACATCCTCGACTGATACCATCAACCAATAACTCTAACAAGAAATCGCTTTCTTCCTTGGTCCAAAGTTCATAATTATCGGAACTTTTTCCTTTTCCTTTGTCCTTTCCTTGTTGTGAATCCTTCATTTTACTACATCATACATGTAAGAGAAACCTCTTTTACTACTATATCATATATCACACATAATTTCACAACTTTACGTCAAACAACAATGATAGAGCCAAATAAGCACATGAAAAAATGCAATTAGTATAAATTCATACTTGCAAAAAAGAAAGTTCATCTTTATCATAAATAAATAAAATTAAAAAAAATCGTAGCACAGTGGTCCTTTTCTCCCAAGTGGGAAAGATAAAAAAAACTAGTCTCAAAACAAAGCTCTATTGTTATTTGAATAGTTATTTCTCCAGTTTTTACAAAAGTAATAAAATATTATTTTATGAAATAATAAATATAAATAAGTAAAACCATTCCTATCAAGTCTGTTCACAACAAACCAAAAACAAAAAGTAACACAACAAAAAGCAAAGCAACACAACAACAGCAACACATATAATAATGGGGTTTGGTATCATTCCTATCAAATCATTCATATCAATATTTACAGAAACAAAAAGCAACACAGATATACACAGATGTACCACATCAGCAACACGAATAATGCAAATAGAGACAAAAAAATAATAGCAAGCATGTGAAGAGAAAAGATGAGAACCTTTTCTCCGTTGCTGTTGTTACTTCTCAAGTCTGTTCATCTTCTGTCCAGCGTGAGAATCAGATGTAAAATGGTGTGATTTTTTTATGGGTTTGGTATTTATATCACCCACTGAAAAGTCTCACAGATTACATCATTTAACGAAATACTTCAAAATCGGTAAGTTTTGAATACCACCGTACTTTTTCTAATCTTTTAAAAGTCCTAATTGAATACCATCAGACTTGCATTGATGATTTTAAAATCCTAATTGAATACCATCAGATTTTTATTGATCACTTAAAAATCATAATTGAATACCACTAGACTTTTAAGCTTAAAAAAAATCTATTAAAATTCTAATTCAATACACCCCCCTTAACTAAACAAATGCCAGCAAAGGCATGACGTCACCTAGCAAAAACGAAAAAGGGAGTAGTCAAAGCAATGTTAGAAACCCCACCGTGAACATGCACACGACATGCTATATATAAAGATGTTTCATGAACTGAGTTTTTCATCAACTATTTATTATTTCTTCATCTCCCAAACTTAATCAAATAATGAAGAGACCAGCACAACTTGTGTTCATCCCAGCCCCAGGCGCTGGCCACATCGTGTCAACGGTTGAGATCGCAAAGCAACTCGTTGCTCGAGATGACCAGCTCTTCATCACCATCCTCATCATGAAGCTCCCCTTCGACAAGCTCTTCATCAATACAGACCCTTCAATCTCACACCGCATCAGCTTCATCAACCTCCCGGAGTCCCACATCGACACACAGGGCCTTGCCTTCCCTTCCTTCATCAAAACATTTGTCCAAGGCCACAAAACCCACGTCAAAGACGCCGTCACAAAGTTACTCGCTGAGTCCGCTCAGGTCGAGCTTGCCGGGTTTGTCATCGACATGTTCTGCACCCCCATGATCAACGTGGCGGACGAATTCCAAATTCCTTCCTACCTCTTCTTCACCTCCAGTGCAGCGAGTCTAGGGTTCTCGTTCCACCTCCAGTCACTTCATGATGAGCAGGGGAAGGACGTTGCTGAGATAACTGGGTGGGATTCTGAGTTGGTCGTCCCGAGTTTCATCAACCCCGTGCCTGCTGGAGTCTGGCCGGGAGTGACAAGAACGAAGGAAGGCGCCATAGCCTCCATAGATTTTGCAGCGAGGTTTAGACAAACCAAGGGTATTTTGATAAACACTTTCAGGGAGCTGGAACCACATGCTCTTCGTTCTCTTTCTGATGGTAAAATCCCACCGGTGTACCCTGTGGGGCCCCTGTTGAATCTGAAGAGTGATGATGGCCACGTTGGTACGGACCAGTCCATACAGAAGTCTGATATCTTGGAGTGGCTTGATGATCAGCCTCCTTCCTCGGTGGTGTTCCTGTGCTTTGGGAGCATGGGAAGCTTTGATGAGGCGCAGGTGAAGGAGATAGCGTGTGCGCTGGAGCAAAGCGGGCAGCGGTTCTTGTGGTCCCTACGGCAGCCCAAGCCAAAGGGCAAGATGGGGATGCCGAGCGATTATGTGGATGTCAAGTTAGTCTTGCCTGAAGGGTTTCTTGATCGGACGGCTAGGATAGGGAAGGTCATAGGATGGGCTCCACAAGTGGCCATTTTGGCCCACCCGGCGGTGGGAGGGTTTGTGTCCCATTGTGGGTGGAATTCTACGTTGGAGAGCCTATGGTGTGGTGTGCCGATTGCCACGTGGCCAATGTACGCAGAACAACAACTAAATGCGTTTGGGCTGGTGAAGGAGTTGGGATTGGGTGTGGAAATTAAGATGGATTATAAGCAGGACAGTGAAGTGGTGGTGAGTGCGGAGGAGATAGAGAGAGGGATAAGGCAAGTGATGGAGAAGGACAGTGATATAAGAGCGAGGGTGAAGGAAATTAGTGAAAAGAGCAAGAAAGCTTTGACGGATGGTGGTTCTTCATATTCTTCCTTGGGACGTTTTCTTGACCAGATTTAAGTTTAGATTCGTTAAAGCTCAAGATGATGCATTGAAACCACAGTTGTTAATTTTCAGAGCAGATATTTTTTCTCCATTTGTTTTACAAATAAGGATTGGTCCCATTTACGTATTCAATGCTTATTCAACTTTCCACTATAAAACAAAATATAAATGTTTGACCCATCTTGCTTTTTGACAAGTATAAATTCCGAAATTCATCGCATATTTTCCAGAAGTAAATAATTATATAATACCAATTTTTTCAACTCACAAGATTTGTATAAAATAAAATGTTAGACTTTATACAATTCGTCACAAAAATGCCAGCAAAGGCATGACATCAAATAAATTGATTAACCAGATATATATATATATATATAAGCAAGTTTATCAGCTGAGCTTTTCATTGCCATCATCTTTCTTTATCTCCACAAATGAAGAGACCTGCAGAACTTGTGTTCATCCCAGCCGCAGGCATTGGCCATGTTGTGTCCACAATTGAGATAGCAAAGCTCTTAGTTTCTCGTGATGACCGTGTCTTCATCACACCTTGTTGATGCTCTTTTTGGGAGGTCAACTTAGATAGATGTAGAATGGTGGATGATGGGTGAAGGTGAAGACCTTCAGCGTGTGTGTGAGGGTTTGGGCAAGCGATGAATGTAAAGAAGACAAGATATACGTGGTTCACCCTTAATGAATGGGCTACGTCCACGGAGAAGGATGTTCTCATTATGATAATGTATGATTACATTTGTACATGGGGTTGAACCCAAATATAAAGATGACAAGTGAGATGCCCAGGCTAGGGATCTAGAAGAGAGAGAGAGAGTCCAAGGCCCAAGGGTCTAGCTTTAAGACCCGGATCCTCTTCTAAGTGGAGAGAAGTGCCCTTTTCACATGGATACTATTCCCTATTTATAGGGAGGTTTGCATAGAATTTCGATGTGGGACTTTGTGCAAGTTGCTGTGGTGGTGATACGTGTCATGGAGATTAGGTTTGGCAGTTTGAGAGCGTCGGCAGTCGGGAGCTTCAGCAGGTGTCTGGCACCTTGGAAGAGTGTCTTCCTTCGGCGGGGGAGAAGGCGTGGCCGCCTTGGTGCTAGTTGTTTTGAGGCTGCATATGCTTGGTTGATTATGGTGTAAACACTTCTCATCATGAAACGACCCTTTGACAAACTCTTCTCAAACACGGACTCTTCAATCTCACCACACATCAACTTCATCAACCTCCCTGAAACAACAAATCTCTCTTGCTTCAAAATCTTCTTCGAAAATCAGAAAACCCAAGTCAGAGATGCCATCACTAAACTAGTTGAGTCAAATTAGTCAAGCTCCTCAAAGCCCCGGCTAGCCAGGTTCGTGGTTGACATGTTCTGCACCACCATGATTGACGTGGCCAATTGTTAAACGTAATGCATTTGTATCAGTTGTTAAAGTAGAGAGTTGTGTCTCTTGATGAACAGTTATGTTTAGGAAGAGTTGTATCTCTTTAGAAGTCAAGAGTTGTGTCTGCAACTCTTGGAACTAATCCAAGAGTTATGTTTGTTTATCAAAAGGTCTTACTGTTATTATAAATAGCCATGTTATAGGCTGCTGTAGCACATATCAAAGAAGTTAACAAAAATCAGTTCGAATAATTTTCTGTTTTACAAACACTCTCTGCCTCACTTTATATTTCCATCTTATACTTTAGTTTTGTGATCATTCCCCCAAAAAATTTGGTACCAGAGCAGTATTTGATCTTATCGCTACCGTTGTGATTAGCAAAGGCATCAAGTTCAAATTCCTCTACCATTGGGAATATCCAGAATCTAATGCCTATTTTTTATGGTGAGAATTATGAGTATTAGAGTGTTCAAATGAAGACTCTGTTTATCTCCCAGGGTCTTTGGGATATTGTAGAAAATGGGTATGAGGAACAAGAAACTTCAAAAGCAGGAAAGGAAACACAAGAAAAGCAGCAGACTTACAAGGAAAATAAGAAAAAAGATGCCAAGGCGTTGTTTCTAATTCAATAAGGAGTAAGCAAAAATATTTTTCCAAGATTACTTCCAGCAACAACATCAAAGCAGGCTTGGGAAATTCTCAAAATTGAGTTCAAAGGTTCAGAAAAAGTGATCTCCATCAAACTGCAATCCTTATGGCGGGAATTTGATAACTTACTTATGAAAGACAGTGAATCCATTCGAGTATTCTTCACAAAGGTTTCTAGGATTGTGAACCAAATCAGATGTTATGGGGACACTATTCTAGACAAGAAAATCATAGAGAAAACTTTACGAAGTCTACCGCCAAAATATGATCATGTCGCTGCTGCAATAGAAGAATCAAAAGATTTATCTACACTTTCTTTACATGAATTAATTGGTTCATTGGAAGCACATGAAAAAAGAATCAACAGATCCACAGAACAATGTGTGGAGTAAGCTTTCTAGTCCAAGGTGAATTCGAAGGAGAAAGAAGACGAACGAAAAGGAGGACAATTCCAGAAATCTCAAAATGGGAGAAACAAAAATTTTGGGCGTAGAAACTCCAACAAAGGAGGCAACAATTTCAATAATCAACAACAAAGCAACAGTCCCAATCATCAACAAGGAAGCAACAGTTCCAATAATTAACAAGGAAGCAGCAATTCAAATAATCAAAATGGAAGATCATCCCTTCAATGCTATGTTTGCAACAAATATGGGCATAAAAGTGCAGATTACCGATACAAATGTACCCGGTGCAGGATACCCAACCATTCACAAAGAGACTGCAGATACCAGAAAAACAATGAAGCAACTTTTACGGAGAACAATGACTCTCAAGAGAAATTGTTTTATACATGTTTCAGTTCTCATCAAGATTCACAAGATGTTTGGTATGTGGATAGCAGATGCAGTAATCATATGACAGGAAATAAGCATTGCTTTGTCAAGTTAGAAGAAAAAGTGAACTCACAAGTCAAGCTTGGTGATGGAAAACTACACAACGTGGAAGGTAAGGGTATCATTTCTGTGCAAACAAAAGGAGGTACTCCAAAACTTACCTATGATGTGTTGTATGTTCTTAATTTGGCTCAAAATTTACTAAGTGTGGGATAACTTTTGCAAATAGGATTCTTGGTGAAATTTGAAGATGACTGTTGTGAGATTTCTGATAAAAAGAATAATACTCTGGTGGCAAAGATAAAAATGACAACAAACCAAGTTTTTCCCATGTTGATGACATCAAAGGAAAACTTTGCTTTGGAAGTAGAGAAAATTGATGGATCATTGTTATGGCATCTAAGATATGGGCATTTGAATCAAAGAAGCCAGCAGCTGTTGCACCAGAAAAATATGGTGGTTGGACTTTCGTCTATTCACTCTGAAAAGGAAATATGTGAAGGCTGTATTTTTGGAAAATTCCATCGGTTACCATTCTCACAATCATCTTGGAGAGCAAAACCCCTCTTGAATTGGTACATGCAGATATTTGCGGACCAACTCGTACACCATCCTTCAATAACAAAAGGTACTTCATTCTATTCGTAGATGATTTCTCCAGCATGATGTGGGTATATTTCTTAGAACAAAAGTCAGAAGCATTTTCTGTTTTCAAGCAATTCAAAGCTTTTGGAGAAAATCAGAGTGGTCACAATTTGAAGGTGTTAAGAACATATTGTGGTGGAAAGTTTACATCAAATGAATTTTCTAAATATTGCAAAAGCAATGGTATTAAAAGAGCATGTTGAAGGCAAAGAGTCTGCCAAATACATTTTGGGCTGAAGCAATTCGTACAGCAGTATTTATTCTTAATCGATCTCCAACCAAGGCAGTCAAAGATAAGACTCCTTTTGAAGCATGGCATCGTTTTAAACCAAAGGTGGATTTCTTCAAGATTTTTGGGTGCACTGCATATGCACATATTCCTTCTCAAAAGAGAGAAAAATTTGATGAGAAAGGTGAGAAATATATTTTTGTGGGATATAGTGATCAGTCCAAAGCATACAAATTAATTGATCCAAGAACCAATAGTTTGGTAATTTCTAGAGATGTTATTTTTGATGAACTCAAAGCTTGGAAATGGGAGAATTATGATATTGAAGTGCCAAGATTTTTTGAGGAACCAGATTCATCACATTCAGAAGAAACTCAGTTCCTTCAAAGTCCAATTCCAAGTGCAAGAACATCTGATCCTTGTTCACCATATTCAACTCCTAGACTAAACGCAAGAACATGTTCATTGGCAGACATATATGAGTCATGTGATCTTGCTTTGAGTGCTTTGGAGCCTCAAAAATTCGAGGAAGCTGTAAAAGAAAATATTTGGCAAGATGCAATGGATGAGGAAATAAGAGTTATCAACAAAAATATAACATGGGAACTTGTTGATCGACCCAAATCAAAAGATATCATTGGACTTAAATGGGTCTACAAGACAAAGTTTAATGAAGATGGCTCAATCCAAAAGCATAAGGCTCGATTGGTTGCAAAATGATATTCTCAACAATCAGGAATTGATTTTAATGAGACATTTGCTCCGGTAGTTCGAATGAAAACTATAAGAACTGTTTTGGCTTTAGCTGCACAACTGAAGACAAAATTTATCAATTGGATGTCAAATCTGCATTTTTAAATGGAGAACTTGAAGAAGAGGTTTATGTGGAGCAACCTCAAGGTTATGTTGAGAAAGGGAGGGAAGATAAAGTTTATCGCCGCCGTAAAGCCTTATATGGCTTAAAGCAAGCGCCAAGAGCCTGGAACAACAAAATAGATCACTATTTTCAGCAAAATGGATTTACAAGAAGCTTAAGTGAGCCATCACTTTATCTCAAGAAAGAAAGTACACGTGATTTTCTGATTTTGTGCCTCTATGTTGATGATTTGATTTATACAAGCACAAATCCAAGGATGGCAGAAGTTTTCAAGAAGAACATGACGAAGGAATATGAGATGACAAATTTAGGCACTATGAGATATTTTCTTGGTATACAGGTTCAACAATCAGATGAGGGAATATTTATTTCTCAAGAGAAGTATGCTGAAAATCTATTGAAAAAATTCAATATGTTGAAGAGCAAACCAATGGATACTCCAATGGCAATTAATTTGAAGCTTACAAGTAACAATGGCGCACCTAAGTTTGATACATCCATATATAGAAGTGTGGTTGGTTCATTAATTTATCTTACAAATACAAGGCCAGATATTGTTCATGCTGTAAGTGTGGTATCTAGATTCATGAGTGATCCAAGTAATCACCATTTTGCTGCAGTAAAAAGAATACTCAGATACATACAAGGAACCAAGGGATATGGTATTAGATATACATAAAAGAAGGAAGCGCAATTAGTTGGCTACACAAACTGACTGGGTAGGTGCAATTGATGATAGAAAGAGCACCTCTGGACATGTGTTTTTCTTGGGAAGTAAAGTTATATCATGGTCGTTGAAGAAGCAAAGTACAATGGCATTATCAACAGCCGAAGCAAAGTATATTTCAACAACAAGTGCAGCATGTGAAGCAGTTTGGATTAGAAGAATATTAGCAGATCTTCGTCAAGAACAAAACACTCCAACAAAATTGTACTGTGATAACATGTCCACAATTGCCATGACAAAGAACCCAGTCTTTCATAGTAGGTCAAAGCACATAGAACTTCGTCATCATTTTATCATAAAATTGGTTGAAGACGGAGAGATTGAATTGAAATTCTGTGGTACTGATAAGTAGATTGCAGATATTTTTACAAAAGCACTTCCAAGAGAGAAGTTCTACTATTTTAAAGAAAAGCTAAATGTCGCAGGACAAATGCATTAAGAGGGAGTGTTAAACGTAATGCATTTGTATCAGTTGTTAAAGTAGAGAGTTGTGTCTCTTGATGAAAAGTTATGTTTAGGAAGAGTTGTATCTCTTTAGAAGTCAAGAGTTGTGTCTGCAACTCTTGGAACTAATCCAAGAGTTATGTCTGTTTATCAAAAGGTCTGACTGTTATTATAAATAGCCATGTTACAAGCTGTTGTAGCACATATCAAAGAAGTTAACAAAAATCAGTTTGAATAATTTTCTATTTTACAAACACTCTATGCCTCACTTTATATTTCCATCATATACTTCAGTTTTGTGATCATTCCCCCAACAAATTTGGTACCAGAGCAGTATTTGATCTTATCGCTACCGTTGTAATTAGCAATGGCATCAAGTTCAAATTCCTCTACCATTGGGAATATCCAGAATCTAATGCCTATTTTTTATGGTGAGAATTATGAGGTCCTTATTATAGGTAAGTTCGGACCATGAGAAACTAAATTAGGGTCCTTATTATAGTAAAATGAGGGTTTGCAAGATTAAAGGCCGATTTTACAATTTTAGGATACTAGGGTACTAAAAAGTTGTAAAATGGATCCATAAACATGTATGTTACACTATTTAGGTAGTGATTTACAAGTTTTTGCACTACAATTACAACGTTAGGGTTCTCATAATCCTTAATGTTGTAAATCCTTATTTTACAAGGATATGGATCCACATTACAAGGAATTGGTAAGTGCATAACATGAGGATGTAAATTAGGTCCTTATTCTAGTAAAATGAGGGTTTACAAGATTAAGGGCCGATTTTACAATTTTGGGATACAAGGGTACCATAACGTTGTAAAGAGGATCCATAAACATGTAGGTTACACGATTTAGGTAATGATTGACAAGTTTTTGCACCATGATTATAACATTAGGGTTATCATAATCCTTAACGTTATAAAACCTTATTTTACAAGGATATGGATCCAAATTACAAAGAATAGGTAAGTCCGGACCATGAGGATGTAAATTGGGGTCCTTATTCTAGTAAAATGAGGGTTTACAAGATTAAGGGCCGATTTTATAATTTTGGGATACGAGGGTACCAAAACGTTGTAAAAAGAATCCCAAAACTCGTAACTTACAAGTTTTTGGCAACAATTTACAAAGTTTTGCTCATGGATTACAACGTTAGGGTTCACCAAATCCATAATGTTGTAAATCAACCTTTTACAAGGATATGAATCCACATTACAAGGAATTGGTAATGGTGGACCTTTGGGATGTAAAATGGGTCCTTATTTTAGTAAAAAATTAAATTGCATATTGCTATGCAATGGGATGCTCCTTGGTTGTCAATTACGCACTCCCTATTTGGCAATTACCAAATGACCTCTGCCATTTGCACAGTCCCTGTTTGTCAATTACTCAAATCGTCATAAATATTGATAATACTAACTCAATTTCATAATGAGTTGTTGGTTTTATTTTATGAATTATGATGGCTAGTTGTGGTTAAATCCTCCATATCTTATGCTTAGTTTTTAAAAATCAATTGAGGTTGGTAGTTTTAATTTTTGTTTCTTTTGTTTCATAGAATTGGTGAATGCACATCAACATTTATTTGAGAGCTTCAAAGTCTTTATCCATCAAATTTTTTCACTTCGAGTTTTGTTTATGTAAATGGTTGAAAAGAACAATTCAATTGTATACCTTACTGCATATCCAATTGCATGTGTAAACTCAATTTCTAAAATAAGAACTATATGAATTGTTGAACTCTATGTTACATGGTTGTACTTTCGTTGACATCCTAGAAGTATTATAAATTTTTATTCTTTTCTTAACATGGCTATGGATTTTATAGTACATTGTTAGGATTAAAAGTCAAGAAAAACAAGTATAAAAGTAGAAAGTTTACAAGTTTTCTCGTAGATTATAAGATTTCCGGGTATTGTGGTTCCAATGCGGTATAATATCGGTTGGTTTTTGCGGTTTTTGGGTCTAAAATGCCACCCCTAGATAATACTAACTATAAGTAATTACTTAAAATAAAAGTTCGTAAATGATTAAACTAATATTTTCTATTTGTTACTTATTTATGTCGATCCGTATGACCTAATACTTTCTATTTGTTATAACTTGTATTTGTTTTACCCATAATTAATTCAAATATTTTTTTAGGGAAAATAAACTTGTCCAAATGTATGGTAGAATTGAAATATTATAACTTGACCAAATGTATGGTACAATTCAAATGTTATAAAAGTTCGTAAATGATTAAACTAATATTTTCTATTTGGACTTGGACAACAAGTCCTTATTAAACTCATAAAGCCACTTGGAAAAGCCATCACGCTAGCTTGCACTCAAATGTCTCAACATCCGTCACGCCAACTTGCAATCTCGTATAAATTTCCTTATTTTGCTACAAAATACCCATATTCAAAACAATAAAACTTGGGTATCTTTATATAAATCCAAATAATTTTAACAAAAAAATTAGTTTTAAGAAGAAAAAAAGCTTAACATGTGATAACTATAATACTTTGTAACTTTATTTATGTATGTCCATTATAGCTTGTAATTGCGCAATTGGACTATAAATGAGACTCTTTTGTTTGTCAATTGCAAGACACGATTGCAAATGACACTATCTGTTTGTCAATTGAATTTACAAATCACATACTGTATGGACATTCTCAAATTTGAAAATCATTTGTGCATATTCCTTCATTATTGAAAAGTAAGACATGATTTAGCATAAAGAAAAAGTTTTAAGTAGAAAAAAAGCTTAACATGTGAGAAATATAATGTTTTGTAACTTTATTTATGTCAATCAATTATAGCTTGTAATTACGCGATTGGAATGTAAATGGGATTGCTTTGTTTGTCAATTACGAAGACTAGGATGCAAATGACACTACTTGTCTGTCAATTGCATTGACAAAATCACATAATGTATTCCCATTCTCAAAATTCAAAAAAAGCTGCCAATAACATAAAGATTGAAACCTAAATAACAATAAAAATAAAAATAAAAACTGAACTATAAAAAAAAAAAAAAAAAAAAAAAAAAAAAAAAAAAGGGGGACTTTCCCACATCACTCTCATCTTCAATTTAGCCGATGCCTTATGTCACCGAGCTCATACAAAATTCCTTTATTTTGCTACAGCACAGCCACGTCATGTTGGCAATTGACAAACATGCACTATGTAATTGCCATTATGTTCTTTCTTTAAAAAAAAAATTGAATATGTAATTGCCAAACAACCACTGTTATTTAATTTTTCTTCTCTTCCATGATTAAGTATGTAAAAGTAAAAAAAACAATAGAATTTAGCAAATCAATTAACTTTTACTTTCATTCCAAGTGTTAATAACTTAATGACAAGTAAATAACAAACATTGTTGGACACAAGGTAATTGAAGTGCAATTGGGTTCACAAAAATTCAATTAACAGGACAGGAAGTAGGTAATTGAACCATGTCAAATCATCAATTGAAATTCACAAAAAAAAAAAAAAAAAAAAAAAAAAAAAAAAAAAAAAATAATTGATTGATTGATTGAATAAAAACTATATTCTCAACAATCAATCAAATGGCAAAGGATTTACTTAGCACACAGCTGGATTAATGGAACATAAAAACAAAATGATGCATATTATGCAAACTTGGAACTCAATTGGATTTACAAATATCCAATTGGTTAGATATGAAGCAGGTAATTGAATATGTGACATCTAATTGCATCAATGGAATGCACTGCACGTGGAACAAAATACAAAATACAAATACATGTAATTGTATCGAAGACAATTGCCAAACAGGATTTTGGTAATTGCATTAGCATCTGTAAAAAAAAACTTAATCATAGAATCCATATGTATCAACAAGCACAACAAGGGGAGCAAGTTTATACCTTGACTCAAAGTCCAATTCGATCGGGAAGTGGTCAAATTGTGATGAAAACCCATACTAACTTCCTTATTTCGCAATGAAAGGAATTACAACTTTGTTGGATTCGGACACAAACAAGAAACCTCAAACTAGATATTGTCTTTATATAATTTCAACAAGGCCATTAAACTGGACTTACAACAGAAAATTTGAATCTCTTTCTAATCATTTTTTCTCCTTTAAGACTTGCCTTCGTTTTTCTTTTTTTTCTCTTTCCATTTTCCTAAGAGACTACAGTGCAAATATGATCAAGTTTTCATACAAATGTGGCTATTAACTATTGAAAGAATATTAATTTGAAATGACCAACTATGAAACTAATATACAATAAAAGTCATAAACACAGAACTAAAATTGAATTGCCTTAACCTTGAAATTTTTACAACAAAAACCATAATGGCAACTTCAACAATTACATAGCTTCTCATGCACTAAACAACATGGCTAAATTTTTTACGTGTTAAAAACACTAATTACTTTATTATACAAAGGAAAATGTAATCTTATAAAAAGAAAAGATTGAAAAGTGATAAAAACTCTAAAATATGAAATGAAAGCTAACGCAAGAAAAGAATTCACATTAATCTTTTGAAAGAAAAAAATAAAGATAGTCATCAAGCTAATAATTGTCAAGATATATGAACTATACAAAGGGAAAATGTAATCTTATAAAAAGAAAAGATTGAAAAGTGATAAAAACTCTAAAATATGAAATGAAAGCTAACACAAGAAAAGAATTCACATTAATCTTTTGAAAGAAAAATAAAGATAGTCATCAAGCTAATAATTGTCAAGATATATGAACTCAACAACACTATAATTTTTGACAAATAAAACCATGTAAAGAATACACACCAAGAACGAGATACAGTAGAGCATGCGCCATGATCTTGCCATTACAGGTCTGCAAAACATTGAATAAAAATTAGTTTCAATCTCCATCACCCACCCAAAAAAACTCATTTCTAACACAAATAGGCACTATATCTAACATTAAAACCTTCAATGACCCATAAATTGCAGCCACATATGACAGAAAAATTGATGAAATTGAAAAAATCTTACCTTTTCTAATGAATTTCAGTTTTGGAAAGGGATTTAGGTGTCTAGGGTTAGGGTTTTATGTTGGGGGTTTAGGGGTTTGGGTATGAGAGAAGCAGAATGAACCAGAGACAAGAAAAAGAGGCAAAAGGGAGAAATTTTCAAAGGGCTAGCTAGCGAAGGAGAGAGGAGAGAGGCGGTAAAGAGCAAGTGAAGCTCGCCATCATCGTCCTCGTCAATGGTTGCTTGTTGCTAGATGCTAGAAGAAGATGAAGGAAGTGAAAGAGAGGGCTCAGTTTTTTACGGATTAGGGATTTTCCTTCAACCTGCTGAGAAGGTTTTCAAGTTATCTCATTGAATGGTGTAGATCTATCCTTGTTATTTTGCTTAAATCTAACGGTCAATATCTATTGGTGCATGGATGCGCCATGTGCACTGTTGAATTTTCCCACATATATTGAACACATGGAAATGAGTTCATTTCCATCAAAAGATCTAAAACCTACCTCTCTTATTCCATATGGAGAAAGCTTCAGAGCTAGTCGTCATCCCATCCGCCTTCCAGATGTCGAAGCTCCTTGTTGCAAGCCATGTCCAACTTTTCATCACCGTCCTCATCATGAGGGTTCCTATCCCACTGCGGGTGGAATTCCACGCTTGAGAGCAGTGATGGTTCCAGGATTCGAAAGCCGACCGGGCAAAACTTATATAATAAATTTAACGAAACGAGTGAATTTTATTAATAAACATAAAAAGATTACATAGTGAGTAGAGATGTAATAAGCTTTATCCTCAAATGCATTTATATCTACAAATACAAAAACTAAAATAAAAACCAAAATTTTTAAAAAAAAATTATTTCACATTAAAAAGAAAGATAAAATAGGGGACTACATTAATTTTTTTTTTTTTTTTTTAAAAAGCCAGGTTTATATCGAGAGAAATGGGAAGGAAGAAAATAGGCGGAGCTAGGTTTATTTATTTATTTATTTATTTATTATTATTTAATAACTAGTTGTGACCTCATTTCTCCCCTTTTTTCCTTTTATAAACGTCTATTATGACATCCGTTTTTGGCTTTCCACATCGAGCTCCATAGCCCTATCAATCATGTTCCGTAATTTCTGAAATAACTATCTTTGTGTGAGACAAAAAAATTAATAATCATAAGTAATGTAGGTAATATTTTTCTAACAAATAGAGAGAAGGAAAAGGAAGAAATAAGAAAGGGAAGAGAAGATAGAAGAAAAAGAGCAGAAAAAAAAAAGAAAAAAAAAGAGAGATGAGAGATGAGAGAAGGAAAAGAACGAAAAAAGAGAGATAGAGAGGAGAGAAGGAAAACCAAAACAAAAAAAGGATAGAGGAGAGAGGAGAGTGTAGGTAATATTTTTTTAACAAAAATTTGGGCTAGGCAAAAGAGGAGAGATGAGAGAGAAGAGTGTGGGTAATATTTTTTTAACACAAATTTCGGCTGGGCATGAGCTCAGCCTGCCATAGGCTAGAACCGCCACTGCTTAAGAGCCTATGGTTCAGGGTGCCCATGGCCACGTGGCCGGTGTACGCAGAGCAGCAATTAAATGCCTTTGAATTGGTGAGGGAGTTGGGTTTGGCAGTGGCAATTAAGATGGATTATAGGAGGGACACCCAAGTGGTGGTGATTGCAGAGGAGATACAGAGAGGGATAAGGGAGGTGATGGAGCATGATAGTGATGTAAGGAAGAGGGTGAAAGAGATGAGTGAGAAGAGCAAAAAAGCCTTGATCAGATTTTCCTTTGATATATTAGGTAAGTCCTAGAAAAATAAGAAATTCCAATATCAATTGCTACTTTTTTGTTTGTGTGGCACATCAATTGCTACTAGATTTCTATCATGAGTAGATGAATTTAATAAAGTTCTCGATTTTTTATAAGAAAGGTTTTTTCGCTACTTTACTAGGACTTGTCAGGGGACACAAAGCAATTTGCTCTTTGGGTTGGTTTCTTTGCAAATTAGAGGTCAATTTTTTATTTTCGTTTATGTAGAGGTTTATCTTCGGCAATTTGAGTATACTCATTAAATTCTGACCCCATCCTTTGTTGATAAGTCTGTGAAGTTGTGTGGTCAATTATTTGAGGGCATGCCCACTCTTTACTGCCAAGTCCACGACGACTTGTCAGACCAAAACCAATTATGATAACTTTTGTTTTGGCTTGGTTTCCAAGTAAATAAGTTTATCAAATTTTCAAAGTGACAAGATTAATATAAAAGACAATCTTGACTAAACAAATGCCACCAAAGGCATGACGTCACCTGGTAAAATGAAAACAAGTAATCAAAAACAATGTTAGAAACATCACCGTGAACATGCACATGATGTATATGAAGATGTTTCATGAGCTGAGTTTTTCATCAAATATTTATTATTTCTTCATCTCCCAAAATTAATCAAATAATGAAGAGACCAGCACAACTTGTGTTCATCCCAGCCCCGGGCGTTGGCCACATCGTGTCAACGGTCGAGATCGCGAAACAACTCGTTGCTCGAGATCACCAGCTCTTCATCACCATTCTCATCATGAAGCTCCCCTTCGACAAGCTCTTCACCAATACAGACCCTTCAATCTCACACCGCATCAGCTTCGTCAACCTCCCGGAGTCCCACATCGACACACAGGGCCTTGCCTTCCCCTCCTTCATCAAAACATTCGTCCAAGGCCACAAAACCCACGTCAAAGACGCCGTCACAAAGTTACTCGCTGAGTCCACTCAGGCCGAGCTTGCCGGGTTTGTCATAGACATGTTCTGCACCCCCATGATCAACGTGGCAGACGAATTCCAGATTCCTTCATACCTCTTCTTCACCTCCAGCGCAGCGAGTCTAGGGTTCTGGTTCCACCTCCAGTCACTTCATGATGAGCAGGGGAAGGACGTTGCTGAGATAACTGGGTGGGATTCTGAGTTGATCGTCCCGAGTTTCATCAACCCCGTGCCTCCTGGAGTCTGGCCAGGAGTGACGCGAACGAAGGAAGGCGCCACAACCTTCATCGATTTTGCAGGGAGGTTTAGACAAACCAAGGGTATTTTGATAAACACTTTCAGGGAGCTGGAACCACATGCTCTTCGTTCTCTTTCTGATGGTAAATTCCCATTGGTGTACCCTGTGGGGCCCCTGTTGAATATGAAGAGTGATGATGGCCACGTTGGCTCGAACCAGTCCATTCAGAAGTCTGATATCTTGGAGTGGCTTGATGATCAGCCTCCTTCCTCAGTGGTGTTCCTGTGCTTTGGGAGCATGGGAAGCTTTGATGAGGCGCAGGTGAAGGAGATAGCGTGTGCGCTGGAGCAAAGCGGGCAGCGGTTCTTGTGGTCCCTACGGCAGCCCGAGCCAGAGGGCAAGATGGGGATGCCGAGCGATTATGCTGATGTCAAGTTAGTCTTGCCTGAAGGGTTTCTTGATCGGACGGCTGGGATAGGGAAGGTCATAGGATGGGCTCCACAGGTGACCATTTTGGCCCACCCGGCGGTGGGAGGGTTTGTGTCCCATTGTGGGTGGAATTCTACGCTGGAGAGCCTATGGTGTGGTGTGCCGATTGCCACGTGGCCATTGTACGCAGAACAACAACTAAATGCGTTTGGGCTGGTGAAGGAGTTGGGATTGGGTGTGGAAATTAAGATGGATTATAAGCAGGACATTGAAGTGGTGAGTTCAGAGGAGATAGAGAGAGGGATAAGGCGAGTGATGGAGAAGGACAGTGATATAAGAGCGAGGGTGAAGGAAATTAGTGAAAAGAGCAAGAAGGCTTTGACGGATGGTGGTTCTTCATATTCTTCCTTGGGACGTTTTCTTGACCAGATTTAAGTTTAGATTCGTTAAAGCTCAAGATGATGCATTGAAACCACAGTTGTTAATTTTCAGAGGAGATTTGATGAGCAGTTATTTTTTCTCCATTTGTTTTACAAATAAGGATTGGTCCCATTTACGTATTCAATGCGCATTCAACTTTCCACTATAAAACAAAATATAAAAGTTTGACCAAGATTCCAAAGAATGTACAGGAGAATCAATCGTAAAATATGGTAAACGTTTATGCAAAGTGTAGTGAAGTTGTGTGTTTGGTCCACAATTCCTAACATGTTTTTACTCATTAAATTCTGACCTCATCCTTTGTTGATAAGTCTTGTGAAGTTGTGTGGTCAATTATTTGAGGGCATGCCCACTCTTTAGTGCCAAGTCCACGACGATTTGTCAGACCAAAACCAATTATGATAACTTTTGTTTTGGCTTGGTTTCCAAGTAAATAAGTTTATCAAATTTTCGAAGTCACAAGATTAATATAAAAGACAATCTTGACTAAACATATAAAAAATATAATAAATAAATAAATTCATTGCAAATTATAATGGGAGCTGCTTTTCTCACTCTTCTTTTATCCATTTACATTCCATTTGTTAGAAATGTTATGTTATCACTACTCTTTTGTCCACTCACACTCCCTTTTTTGTTATAGTAAAAATTATTAAAAAAACAAAAGAAGTATAAGTGAACAAAAGGGAAGTGGAAAAATCACCGCCCATTATAATATCAATTTTTTCAACTCACAAGATTTGTATAAAATAAAACGTTAGACTTTATGCAATTCATCGCAAAAATGCCAGCAAAGGCATGACATCAAATCAATTGATTAACCAGATATATATAAGCAAGTTTATCAGCTGAGCTTTTCATTGTCATCTTCTTTCTTCATCTCCACAAATGAAGAGACCAGCAGAACTTGTGTTCATCCCAGGCGCGGGCATTGGCCATGTTGTGTCCACAATTGAGATAGCAAAGCTCTTAGTTTCTCATGATGACCGTCTCTTCATCACACTTCTCATCATGAAACGACCCTTTGACAAACTCTTCACAAACACGGACTCTTCAATCTCACCACGCATCAACTTCGTCAACCTCCCCGAAACAACAGATCTCTCTTGCTTCAAATTCTTCGTCGAAAATCAGAAAACCCAAGTCAGAGATGCCGTCGCTAAACTCGTTGAGTCAAATCAGTCAGGCTCCTCAAAGCCCCGGCTCTCCGGGTTCGTGGTTGACATGTTCTGCACCACTATGATTGACGTGGCCAATGAGTTTGGGGTACCTTCTTACGTGTTCTTCACCTCCAGACGCTTCGGGACGAGCATGGCAAGGATGTGGCTGAGTTTATGCACTCGGATTCTGACTTGGTCGTCCCGAGTTTTGTCAATCCTCTGCCTGCTAGCGTCTTGCCTGGTAAGCTACTGGACAAGGAGAGCGCTGAATCATTCCTCAACTATGCCAGGAGGTTTAGAGAAACCAAGGGTATTTTGGTAAATACATTCTGGGAGCTGGAATCGCATGCCCTTCATTCTATTTCTTATGGTAAAAACCCACCAGTGTACCCTGTGGGACCCTTATTGAATCTCAAGAGTAGCGATGATGATAAGGGTTGGGATATCTTGAGTTGGCTTGATGATCAACCACCGTCATCCGTAGTTTTTCTCTGCTTTGGGAGCATGGGAAGCTTCGGTGAGGCCCAAGTGAAAGAGATAGCATGTGCGCTAGAGCACACCGGGCTCCGATTCTTGTGGTCCCTACGCCAGCCCCCACCGAAAGGGAAGATGGCTATGCCAAGCGATTATGCGGACCCTAGTGGAGTCTTACCCGAAGGGTTTCTTGATCGAACGGCTAAGATTGGGAAGGTCATAGGGTGGGCCCCACAAGTGGACATTTTGGCCCACTCGTCAATCGGAGGGTTCGTATCCCATTGTGGATGGAATTCCATGTTGGAGAGCTTGTGGTACGGTGTCCCGGTGGCCACGTGGCCAATGTATGCAGAACAACAAACAAATGCCTTTCAGCTGATAAAAGAATTGGGATTGGCTGTGGAGATCAAGATGGATTATAGGAAGGACAGTGAGGTGGTTGTGAGTGCACAAGACATACAGAGAGGAATAAGACAAGTGATGGAGCATGGTAGTGTTATAAGTAAGAGGGTGAAGGAAATGAGTGAAAAGAGCAAAAAATCCCTGATGAATGGTGGATCCTCATACTCTTCATTGGGTCGTTTTATTGATCAGATTTAACATTTGATTCATCAAAGCTTAAAATCATTTGTAGTCATATGATATAACACGTGAATTAGGAACACTAATGGCTATACAATAAATTCGCGTATGTAAACTTCAATCCTTTTTATAATAACAAGGGGGCAATGAAATTCCAACAAAGGCTTATAATTTTGTCTTCACCATTTTTATGAGGTTGAGTCTTTTTGAAGCTATATACTTCTTATAATACAATGTTAAAATAGGTGAAGTTCAAGTAACCCTGCCATGATTCATGAACAACAACTTCGATTAAAATTGATTGTCTCATCGGTTTTCTTCTTAACAAAGTTATAAGCAAAGTAAAGTAAATTCCAATTAAAATTTAGAACCGTGGTTGCTTTACGTAAAAGTCATTCAATACACTCCTATTATGTGCCATGTGTCGTCCAATGGCTGGTGCCCTAATAATCAACATAGTAAGTGCCTACAACCACCCCCTTACCCTAGTAGGGAGGGTGGCTGAAGATCTTCCTAAGCTTGATTTATGGAGATGTGTTCCCCTTCATCTGCTATAAATACCATTCACCTACATTTAGACAAATATGTTAACTCCTTCATGTCCAGAAACTCTACTCATTTACTCTCTTAAACACCATTTGTTCTCCCTCTAACTTAGGCATCAGAGAGGAATTGGCTGGTACTACACCAATGCCTCTTTGATAACTTGCTTTCTAAGTTGTGCAAAACACCTGGGCCAAAGAAGGCAGCCCATCCATGCAAATTCAACTTTATTCATATTCGATCTTGGCCCAATCAAGGTCCTAGTTCACCACGGAATTCAACACAAGTCAACAACAATGATATAAGAGATAGGGTGAAAAAAATGAGTGACAAACAATAGCAAGAAAGCCTTGTGGGGTGGTTTAGCAAAGCTCAAGATCATTTAAATGTTTGGCTTTTTTAAACAAGTTTTATAAAACTTAGTATAATAACAGGGGAAATATGAAATATTATATATATATATATAATTAACAAATAAAATAAAATGATTTGCCTTCTTAATTGTTATGATTGAGAAAACTGACAAATTATGTGCATATATCATTGACATATTCAATTCTACTACGACTAGTTGGACCAAAATCAATTTTTGATAATCTTCTATTTTGGAGGTGTATTCAATTGAGATTTTAAAAGACTATTTAGGGATAAAAAGTTCTAGTGGATTTAACCAGAATACAATAAATTTGCGTATGTAAACTTCTGTCTTTTTTATAATAATTAACAAGGGGGAAATGAAATTCCAACAAAGGCTTATAATTTTGTCTTCACCATTTTTGTGAGGTTGAGTCTTTTGAAGCTATATATCTTCTGGGTTCACCCAAAGTCAAGCGGATGCTTCTTTATTTGTTTATCACCATGGCCATCATCAAATATTCCTATTGCTATCCAAGAATTTATTTCTACTTTAGGCAGTGAATTTGACATCAAAGATCTTGGGCCCCTCAGTTATTTTTTGGGCCTCTGGGTCACTTACTCCAATGGCAGTCTTCACCTATCTCAGGTTAAGTATGCTTATGACCTTCTTCAACGTCATCACATGCTTGACTGTAAACCGACCTCTACGCCCCTTGCTGCCAAATCTTCTCTCTTAGCGACTGAGGGTGACTTGTTATCTTCACCTACTTCATACAGAGAGGTCGTGGGCTATCTCCAATACCTTACCATCACTAGACCCGACTTGGCATTCGCGGTCAACTCCATTGCGCAATACATGAGCGCACCTCGTTCTTCTCATATGATCGCTGTAAAGCGAATCATGCGCTACATCAAAGGGACCCTTGATTTTGGCTTAACTCTTCGTCCACAATCACAACCCACACGTATTTGTGCACACTCCGATGTAGATTAGGCTAGGTGCTCAGACTCTCGTCGCTCCACCACTGGCTATTTGATCTACTTGGGCACCAACTTGATCTCTTGGTGTTCCAAAAAGCAACCTACTATCTCTCGCTCAAGCATGGAATCAGAATACCGCTCCTTAGCTCATGCTTGTGTCGAAACTACTTGGCTATCCTACCTTTTGGTCGAACTTGGTGTTCAACTTACCTTTCCAGTCTTTCTTCATTGTGACAATCTCTCTGCCACTTACTTGGCTGCCAACCCTGTTTTTCACGCTCGCACCCGCCACATCGAGCTTGATTACCGTTTTATTCCTTCTATTGATCAGCTAGCTGACCTCCTTACCAAAGCACTTCATAAACCACGCCACCAACTTCTCCTATCAAACCTTGTCCAGCCTTGCCCGTTCGGTTTGCGAGGGGGTATTAGTGAATCAATTCAGTCCGGTCAACTTTCCATAAGTCGCTCCAGCCAATCTCCATCTTCATTGCCTTGATTGAGATAAATATCTGCAATTTATTGTAATCTCTAATTACTTGTAATTGGCTATAATTCCTTATTCTCTTACCATTTGTATCTCTGTCAGATTGTATATAATATGTACCCATGATAATGAAAAATACTGAGGTTTATTTCTTCACACCTTGAGATATCAATTTTGATATAACAAAATCCTAGAATGAAATTGTTACAAAATGTCATTGAAATAATCTAGAACTTCACAGAAACGCACTTTGAAAGAAATATATGTCATTGAGGCAATCTAACCAATACTTGATTTACAACTAGTACTCAAAGAGACAATAAGAAAATGAGCTTTATACCTTCAAAGAATCATTTACTTGAGATGATAATGGCTAATTTTATCAATTGAATGACAAGTAACAAACCATTTGAGAGAAAGTACACATCTATAACAAGAAATTCAATATAATCAATGAACAAGTTCCATTCTAAATTTTCCCAAGGTGGCTATAGACAGAATTTCGAACAACTTTGATGAAGGAACCAAAGTCATTTGAGTACAAGAAATCATAGAAATATTCTGAAACCGAGAATACTACTGTGAAATCCGAAAATGGTAAACATACTGTGATCATACCAAGTTTTCGGGGTCAATACTAATCGGATTGAGGTGAAAATGGAGTATTTTATAGGAATCGCGTAAATGAACAACTTTTATGAAGGAAGTTTTCTCATTTGAGCTCTCTAAATTTGAGTTCTCAGCTGCTCCAAGGAAGTGACGAATTTTTTAATTTTTGAAGAACAAAAGAAGAATAATGAAGATGAAAATATGTGAATGAACAGCCAATGTTTTTGGCCTATAAATAGATACCTCCATCAGTAGAGGAGTGGGCTGAGATAGAAATAAGAGAAGGAAGACAGAGGGTGAGTGAGCGGAGAGACAAAATGAGAGCAAAGAGAAATTTTCCAAGAGAGAAAAATCAGTGAGCCACATATATTGTAAACACTAAAGTTGTAGCCCTATTATTTTACGTAGTGGAAAAGTTATTGTTGCTGCTCTCCGAGAACGTAGGCATAGCCGAACCTCGTTAAATGCTGTGTCTCATCTACTTTACGTGCAGCTCAATATTCGCACATATTCCAGTTATTTTACAACATGTTATCAGCACGAAAGGCTCTCAGGTATAATTTTTATGCTGCACTATTATTTATACTACTAACCATTGTGTTGATGTAAGGAAGAAAAGTATTGGAGGAGCTGTGGTCTGCTAGAGAGATATACGAGCAAATCCACCAAAACGTGATAAGGTCACAGTTTTTTTTCATCTCCTTCTTTTATCAATACTTTACATTATTCAATGCTACTTTCTATATATGCTGACTATACAAACAGTTTGAGTGCTAATGGCAGGAGTGAAAGCAACAAAGTTGAAGACATGCACATGTGCAATGATTCATTGTCCGCCATGGTTCATTTTGATATATGGTTGCTCTATATATTATATTATATTAAAGCATCGTTAACTTTTTGGTTTTGATATAACATATTATATATATAAATGGCAATATACTCAAGTTATATATATAGACCTACACGGCATATGTATATACTCAAGTTATATTTATAGAATATTGATGGTAATATAATATATTATACTTATTTGCTTTCCTATTACTAACCACTAATAAAAATGGACGGTTTCACGTACTATACTTTTAGTGGTGGTTTTATCCCCACATTTAATTTATTTATTGTATGGTGTAGGTTCATTACACATACAATTTATTTACTGTATGGTGTAGGTTTATTACACATACGACACAATTATTTGCCGTATGGTGTAGGTTTATTATCCATACAACAGTATTTATTTTAAAAAGTGTGGCGCAGGTTTATCGTCCACACAACTACCTTTACTTTTATTTAAAAGTATGGAGTAGAATTAGTGCCCATACAAGCACATTTAATTTATCGCACTTTTACTTTATTATTTAAAGTATGGTGCGGAATTAACGTCCATATATCAAGCAATTTACTTTATCGCACATTTACTTTTACTTAAAGTATGATGTGGAATTAACCCTCATACTTTATGAATTTACTTTACCACACATTTACTTTTATTTAAAGTATGGTGCGGGTTTATCGTCCATACAAGCAATTTATTTTATGGACTAGTTATGCGGTATGATGAATTTTTATAGTATACATATCAGGACTAGAAGTTCCTTAATCCTCATCATACAACTACATCAGGACTTGAAGATCCTTGATGATGATATTGATATGAGAGCTGGCAGTCTCTCTGGTACTATATTTGTAAACATGTGATCGGACTTGAGGGTCCTTGATCCTTGACATGTAAATAAGGACCTGGGGTTCCTTAATGATGTAACAGCACCGTATTGGTTAATAGTGCCGTACACATGGATAATAACTATACTGGCAAATGTACTGTACACATGAATAGATACGTATTCATGACTTGATGAATAGTACCGGATATATGAATAGTGACGTATACATAAATATTAACCACTTTGGGTAAACTGTCACTATATACAAAAGGGAACCTGCAGTCCCTTAAGCTCATGGATGAGCAATTAAATGAGATGCCACAAGTTCCTCACAACATGGACAATTATGTAAGGGCTTGAAGTCCCGAAATATGTACGGAAAATTGTAAAAATTTTCATACCATGAGAATATGTGATTTTGGCCCCAAGTTCAAAATCTAAGGGGATTGAATGTCCATACCATGAGTATATGAGATTTTGGCATGAAGTTCAAAATCTAACAGTGTTGAGAACTTGAAGTTCCAACGATCAAATGGACAACCCTTGAGGTATTATTGCAAATTGTGGTACGCCACATATTTCTTTGGCATAAGAGAATGATGAATTTAATAAAGTTCGATTCTGTTATAATCGACACCTCAAGGAAGAAATACATTTTGTGAATTCCGGTTGTTAAGAATACTCCGTGAAAAGGATAATATCAAGATAAACCTCAAATGATGAATTGAGGCTCCCCACATATTTTGTTGTATCTAGGCCGGAAGCCCATGGATCCAAATATATGAGAGATCCTGAACTTGAAGTTGTGGGTATATAGTAGTTAATGCTCTTCACTACTATATTGCGATATTATCATGGCTTTTACTCAATTCATATTTCATACCTATTTGAAAAAGGCAAATAAATTCTGAGGTCGTGTTTAGCTAAGGCTAGAAGTTCCGAACTCACATGCATTGAAATATGTAATTTGAGAGATTTGATGTGGTTATTTGAACCTATAAGGCACAAGGTTTCAAACCACCATTTTGAAAAGACGTAAAAACCACAGGTGCAAGTTTTAAGAATTTGCGCAATTATTATAAACATGAAAGAAGGCATACAACAGATAGATTTTTTCCACCTACAATGAAGGTGCAGGCTCTGTAAAATCTATAAGATTACATTATGTTCTAGAAGTCTCTGAAGGAAGAGGACGGCGCCTCTTAAGCTTAGCCATGAGCCTTTCATGGTCTCCCAGAATCTTTTCATTGGAGACCTGCATCATGTCTAGCCTTCTCAGCGTATCAACGGAGTACGAACGCACCGGTTTCAAGAAGGCATTATTTTCTTCTTCAAGTTTCTCAACCTCCTGTTGAGACTCATGAAGCATTCTCTGAAGAGATGAATTTTCAGTTGTCAACTCTTGAACCTTGTTTGCTCTAGCACGCAAATGATTAGCCATGTTGGAAACAGAAGCAGCACTCTGAATGCTAAAAGCCATTGAGTCATCAATAGCCTCTTCATCAGACCTCACTGCTAACAGCATTTCATCCATTGGTATACGGAAATTCCTAACTACTGTGATAGCAGTCGCATCATTCATCATCACAGAATCATTAACCGTGAGATGACGATTTTGGGATACAAAGGATGGACACCAAACTTTGGCGTCACGGGTTGTTGTGGGAGCATAATTTAAATTGAAATAATTTGGGGGAGAAGAAGAGGAAGCCATCTTATGAAGGTTTCAAGGAAAATTTTAAGAGAAGCTCAAATTTCAGAAAATGGAGAAGTTGAGTTGAAATGCAATTACTCCAATCAGGTCTTGCAGAGGCAATATCTATAGGCGGAAATATGGCCATGATTTCCAGGATCCCAATACTATCTCGGATCCCCATATTCTCTTTTTCTTTCCCAGGTTTCAAAACTTCACGCGGCCTCCATTAATGTCTGTCTGCACTTTCGGCGTTTTCAAGGATTATTTTCGTCAAAGCGGACCTTGCTTTGCGGATTTCACAGAGCTACTTTTTCAAAAGCACCCCGAGAACATCTCAAATTTTTATGGTTAATTTGAAATTCACCAGGTTCTACCTATTCCTCTTATTTGTGTATAAATATGTTACTAACGAAATTTTCTTTGCAGAAGACATACAGTTTTCTCCATATCTAGAGATGCGATATCCACTTGTTTTTCATATCAGTGAGCACTCGATGTACTTGAGAAGTGAGACTATCTCTGATCATCCATTTAGGAAGCGAGACTATCCCTGATCACGTTTCCGCTACATTAGGGAACTGTACAAGCGACCACATGCTCTAATCTCCTGAAGTTCTTGTAGACTGGGGGAAATGAGAGTTTGTTGTCTGCTCCCACCAGCTTCCTTCCTTGATTGCTTACCTTATCCTGCAATTAATATCACAATTTTTGCATATTTTCTTTCTTTTTATAACTCTATGTTCATGAGGGATTTTATTTTCTTTAGAACGAACATCTAAAGAAAGAATCAATGAAGTGATCCTAACTCCGAGGGTTATTTGTATTTAACAGAGAGAAGAATTGTGATTTTTGCTCTTGCAGGATATAACTAGATCATCAAGCACTACATTATATTTGCTGGGCCGATACGAGCTTGAATGATACTTGAGAAAAGTTTCTCCCACCTAAGGATGTAAGCAATACTTGTGTTATTTTATGCTTATACACTTATTTTGATATTTGGTACTACATCCTTAAAGGTAACCAAATGGGGAGAT